TAAAATAATATGAAAGCTTTAGCTGTTTAAGTTGAATTCAAATAGACATTTCATACATAATGATAACAATAATAACTTCATGTATATTTAACAGTGATATTGAAAGGCAGAATAAAAACTTTCACTTATTCCTGTACTTTACTTTGGAATGTCATGTTGTCCCACATTTGGTAAGTTTGGATACGGTCACCTTACAAGGACCTTGACAGAATGTATTTGTTTTCTTCTGTAATGCTCAAACAATAGATGGTGTTTTGTTTTTTCTCTGGCTTCGAACACGTCGGTTCCGGGTTTACAAATGTGATACATGTGGGGCCTCCTCCGAAACGAATTACTATGAGCTTCAGCTGCGTGAAGACATTTTCTCTGACTGACTGCAGAAAGAATCAGGTGTAGATCCCAAATCAAAAGATATCAACCGTGTGTGTGTGTGTGTGTGTGTGTGTGTGTGCGCGCGTGTGTGTGTGTCCGTCCCAGTTATGGTTCACCAAAGGTGTTAAAGAATTTTTTTAAAGTTGTGTTACTAAATTTGGAAATGGTATCCACTCAGAATGAGGATAACTGGACTGTGTTTGATCAACGACACTTGAATATATAGCACTGAAATAAATAAATAAATATGAATCAACAACTTTATATGGAACAGAAAAAGTAAAATGTTGTTTTTTGTTGACTAATAAGTAGGGATGTTCAATATCATCGACCAAAATAGGCATCAAAATGATCGTTATCAGTTTTCACTCTTTTAATGACAACTTTCACATATCGTGCACATATAATACAACAAACTCCTCAGCTACATCTACTCTCACTCAAAATGCTCCAATACGACAGACCAGCTTTTTAGATAGTTGTGTTTGCTTAACAGAACCAGTCTTAACTTCAATTGAAGCAATTGTCATTATTGGCACCAATAATATTTACAGTTTAAGTCTGAATGATAGGAGCAGGGTCCAAAATTAATTTTTTTACTTACCAGCCAAGTTGGCTGATAGATAAAAATCTACCGGCCAAGCATATTTTTTACCGGCCATAATTCTAAATGATTTAGATCCACCTAAAGCATGTTACTCTATATTATGTTGATTCCAAACAGAGTGCCAAAATAATTAAAACATCAATTAATAAGAAAAGCAACTCTTTTGTCATTTTTACTATTTATTTATTTTTAGAGATGTTTTTATGAACTCTTTCATTGAAATCTAGTCAGACTCCTTGTTTTCTCTGTCCATGAAGTCTGGCCTCCTGCCTCTGACACCGTCTTTGTGCCAAAGCATTACAGCCTCATTTGGTCCTAGTCCTTGATCTCTGGAGAACACAGCTGCACCATGAGAATATCTGAAAGTGTGTCAGGGCTAGGGTTGTCACGGTAACCGGTGTAGCAGTAAACCCCGGTAAAAAAGTTGACAATAATAATAACCGTCTTGTTTAAAAAATATATATATTATCTCGGTGGATTACCGTGACTGCGGTGTAGGCGCGGTGACCCTTACCAGCCACCGTATCATCCGAAGTTGCCGGCGGCACATGCGCACTTTGTTGTTTACGACCAAAACTTTCTTTAAAGAGCAAGTCACCCCCAAATAAACTTGTTTTGCTGATAAACTAAATAAACGAGTGTCTAATCGTACTGCAGACACGTGTCGTCAATAATTTGGCACTTCAGTGCATCTTAGTTAAAATTTAAATATTCTGCCTAAAACTGGCAGTGTTGTGCCATTGTCAGGTAAAAACTCTGCACTGTATTTTAATTTAAATCTGCCACCGCTATTGGCTAAGAAGTATGCTATGATGTAAACTGGTACATTATGATGTCACAATGCTGTCGTGAGCCTGAGTGTGTGTGTATTTGTTAGCGGCTCCGCCCTCTCGGTCTGCCAGTCAACAGCATGTGTTGCATTTTTCAAACATGAAGTGGGAGTGGAGTTAGACTCTGGTAGGGGTTGACTTGCTCTTTAAGCTAAAGCTGAAATAATGGCAGGATGAGACGGCAGCACTCGGGACATTTATTATCCCTCAAAGAAGACAAAGCCGGAAGTATGGGCATTTTTTGGATATTTGAAGAATGCCGAGGGACAGTTGTCTGTGAAAGGCAGCAACGCTACGTGGCCATCATAATGTAGCCTGTCTCACGACTCCGCCATCTCCGGTTCGCCACTTTTCACAAAGTCTTCTGGTTGCCACTGGTCCTGGTGGTTTTTCTTCCAGTTCGACGAGTTTTCTTTTGGAAGGCTGGCTGGCTCCAGTTAAAAACCGCCACATTTCACCGCTAGTTTTAACACGAAGCTAACTGCTAACTTGATAAACTGATTGAATGGGATAGGCGGAAATGACGTTGGATGCGGCGTTCACGTTTCGCGTACGTTTGTGTACGTTGCATGCAGGCGGGAGAAGTATCAGAAATCCATGGAAGATGACTGATAAACATAACTAATTTGGTGCAAACATTTACTCGCCAGGTGGCAGGTAGAGCTCAAAAATGTACTCGCCAAATGGAGCAATTTGCTCGCATTTGGCGAGTGGCGAGTGTTAATTTCGGACCCTGGATAGGAGATATTTGATGTCAGCCATGTGAAACGATTAAAATGTTCTTTTTCATGAGGAGGGCCCCTTTACATGTTAATATTGCAGGGCCTGAAATTCACTGCGGGATTGCGGGTATTGCGCGTTATATAGTTGCTTCTCGCAAATCCAGTTTTATAATGCGGGAAAGTCCCGCACAGCCTGCAGCGAATGTGGACGTTTGTATCGGAGCCATTAAAATCCCACAACATCGAACCCGTTCTTCATCTTGGTGATTGGCGGCGCGCTGGATTTTTTTTTCTCTCCACTTATCAAAATACGAGCTCAGTATTGGTTTATATCAGTATACGTTAGGGTTCGGCAACAAATGAAATATTTCTCGTTATCAAAATTTCTGACTAAGCAACTTCGTTTTTCCCATGTCAATACATTTGATAATTTAAAAAATGAAAATATATGTGTAGGTTGGAGACGTTCCAAGTCCCTTTAAGGAGTTCTACCACCTCAAGTCACATTACAACGTGACTCAATGTAATACATGTGACAGCCCGATCTAGAGGACCATTTTTTTCCTGCGCATTCAGTTATCGTCTATTTATCGTGATCGAGGTGAAATCCTTAAAACACTGTGATACTGATTTTAGGTCATATCGACCAGCCCTCATCAGCATATCGGATATCTGTAAAATAAAAAGCTGACATCGAACATCCCTACAAATTAGGGTTGCAGGGATTAACCGATTTGACTATGAACTGATTGTGACAACAGCACCTTTAAAAAACAACAGCACAACCCACACATACAAAAACTCAAGTAAAACTTAACATGCGCATGCAGCAGAAGCACAACCAGTGGCAACAACCATCAGGACTGCTCCATTTCCACCTAGGAAGCAGTTGAAGCTTCCTGTGTGGGAATACATCTAATATATCTAAAATATTCCCAATACTACCAATAAGCATTTTTATGAACTACAGACGTTGGTGTCAATACTGAACTGAATTGGAATCTGCATTTATTTATCCTGTCATTATTTCTTATTCCTTAAACCCTACGGCCAGGAACATTGGAGTGGACATCTGTTGACATGAACATCTCCACAGTCACAGTCGTTTGACTGAAACAGGGCTGCATGTCCAAAGTAGGTAGACCATTATAGTCCAGAGGTGATAAATAACGAGCTAAACTGGGCAATGCTTTAACAGCTTTGTCTATAACAAGTTGTTTAAACACTCCTGTGTCGGGACCAGACAGGAGCTCTTCCAGTCCTGGGCTTTCTTTAGCCCACAATCCCATCTTGTTATAGTTTAGGACGAGTGCCAAACACTACACCAGGTTTACACAAGTTGGAAAAAGAAACCGACAAAGATATACAGGAGGCAATTCAAAAACAAATCTGACCATAGGAACTGACTGAAGCGCTCAGCCAACATATTTTATCCTTATAAGGTAAACTAGGACTCCTTCCTCCCTCTGACCCTCTAGCTCTAACCACTGCGCCACCGCCCAGCCCATCTTCTATTGACCCATTTTGCCAAAGGAAAGGAAGTTGCCTAATAATTATGCACACCTGATATAGGGTGTTGATGTCATTAGACCACACCCCTTCTTATTACAGAGATGCACATCACCTAATATGCTTAATTGGCAGTAGGCTTTCAAGCCTATACAGCTTGGAGTAAGACAACATGCATGAAGACGATCATGTGGACAAAATACTCATTGGCCTAATAATTCTGCACTCCCTGTATTTATATAGCGCCTTCACATGGCCCAAGGACCAAACGCAGCGCTGCACAGCAGAAGTAAACATAAAAAAAATAAAAATTAAAACATTTAAAACCATTTAAAAACCAACAAAAACATGCAGATAAAATCTAGGTGGGGCAGCAAAAAAGTGCAAAGCCATCCGATTAACGCGGCTCTTCTTGAATAAAAGCTAAAGAAAAAAGTGTGTTTTCAGCTGGCTCTTAAACTTGGCGAGCGTGGTGGCCTGTTTAACACATGTAGGTAGCTCATTCCAGAGCTCGGCCTCAGCACCGAGAAAGCACGACCCCCTCGAGATTGTAGTCTGTGTTTAGGAACGACCAGCAGTCCTTGTGCTGCCCGAAGGTTCCTTGCGGGAACATAAGGATGGATCAGATCCACCAGATAACGTGGAGCCAACTCGTCCTGATAAGTCTCGGGACACTAAAATAGTAGCAATAATTGTGTGCCTCATTTGAGGTCTTTTTTACGTATTTATACTATACAAGTATAATTTGCTTTGGTTGCTTTGACCTAATCAGTTAATAAATTCTTACTGGATTAAAAGCGTTCAATTATATTTAATAGTGAAGATTCTTTACATACCACTGAGTGGTAGGGCGTTATGCCAAGTGGAGATGTATGAACCAGTGAAGCAAGCAGCTAACAGAACAAACTAGCAAAAGCTGGAGGAAGAGAAAAGGCAGCAGATATTGGCTGCTGTCCTCACCTGGCAGGTCAGAGAAGAGCAGGATGCATTCATTGAAGCCGTTAGCCAGGAGACGGTCTCTGAGCTGCTGCAATATGGCAACGCCAATACAAAAAGGGAACGAGGAATTACCCAGCAGCAACGTGTCCCAGAGGTGGAAGATTTTATGCAGTGGGAAAACATCTGCATGGCAGGAAGAAAATAGACACAATTGGAAAAAATAAATAAAATGTGTCCAAATAACCAGATTTACACAACAGGATGCTGCAGGTCTGTCTATGGAAAGCACACAATGAGAAATGGAGAATAACTTAATATACAAAGGTGATCATTTACATTTACTTAGCACGTTTACTTAACAGACCTGGAATAAAATTGGAATCCAACAAAAACAGGCGGTATGTTGGAGAGATTGTCTGGAAGCTAATTTAACGTGGGAGGCAGCTGGGAAAACGTTTTTTAGGTGGGATGTGTGGTAGAAAAACATGACAGGAGGAACATCAGCAAGGTTTAGAAAAAAAAAGAACCTTCAGAAGATTATTTCAGACTATATAAGACTGTATCCTGATATTACGTCCCTCTACAGTTATTATTTCAATCACATCACCATCAGCCGCCTCACATGCCCCCCTCTCTGCTGACATGCAAACACAAAATCCAGAGCTGTGCTTCCGTTTATAACAGCCCAGGGTTTGTTTGGGTTTGAATGCAACACAAGATGTGTGTGAAAGTAGAATGTGGTGCGGAGGGCTGACACAATCCCTCAGAGGCTCTCCAACACATTAGCAGGCAGCTAACTAGGCCCATGAGTGTGAGTGACACTCAGCTTATATGATAAGTGTGAATGGAAGATAGACCTCCAGCCTTGTATTGCCATGGATCGGGGGCATTAGCAGTCAGAAGAGCACACCTGAATACTTACTTACTCACAAGATGCTTTAGCGGGAGGTAAAAGGCTGACAAACAGCACCCCCCACCTCACCCCCTCCAAATCTGGAATGGTGTGTGTGAGAGTGTGTTTGTGTGATTAGGTGCAAAGTGTGGGGTTCAGATAAGATAATTGCATCGAGTGCGCTGACACCGATGTGGCTCGATTAATGGAAAGCAGAACTGTGTGAGTCGCCAGACTAATACTTTTTTAAAGAAACCCTCTCACTTAATGAGTTTCCCTCTTTCATTTGTGTTCATATTTTTATTGTTGTTATTATACAAACAGTTTTAGGAGATCACCTCATATAAAAACGAACTGCAGGTTTATAAAAACCTTAAGAGAAAATCAACTTTAGAAAACAGAAACTGTTAAGATTCATGCAGAAATGTACGTTTATCACTCATATTTCAGATTCAAATGAGTTTTATCTTGACGGTTTATCTGTAATCTGACCTGCTTAAGGGGTTGTTGTTTATTTTGTTTTTTCCAGCAGGTGTATTTTATATAAATGATAAAACCAGTTTACCTTGAGGCATGTTAAAGTCTCCCAGTAAAGCACAGGAAACACTTCAGATAGATCTGAAAGTCTAAACATGTCAGATGTTGGGCTGGGTTGTTTGTGGGTAGTTTTATTACCCGCTAGAGCTGCTCTCTGGAAGACTAAAGTCAGCAAACAGAGACCGCAGAGAAAAGGTCCTACCCTCTCGAGATGGAACTTAAACTGAAGTCTGAAAGCTTCTAGCCTTAATAATAAAGAATTCAAACGATGCACCTGAGCTGTAACTATGGTAACGCAAGATTCCATGGCTTTACCATAGTGACAGTCTATCATAGGTGACAGACAGCGCTCCATAGGGAGCCTAAGTCACGCCCATCTACTTCCGGACCACGGGTCCCCAGAAAAACAAAAAAATGAATGCAAGTCAACGGTGATAAAGACGCTATTTTCTAATTCTGCTTGTTATGTGCCATAGATTTCACATATGATGTCCGCAAAGATGCATTTTAATACCAAGAACGCGCTTATTTTCGAAAGGGGGGGGGGGGGGGGGGGGGGCGTTATTTCAAGTTTTGTGTAATAAGTCCAGGACTACAAATGCGCTTTATGAAAGTGACATCATCGAAGCAGACACGGAGAAAAACAGGGAAAATGGCAGAGATTCTGTGGTGACGTCATATATGCAACGTGCCAATGTCGGATTTGTAGTCATGCTAGCATCGAACATTTACAAGCTGATAAATTTCAAAGTACGTGACTGACGTGATTGAAACACTCATCATTGGATTACATTTAAATTGAAGTACAACATATGTGTGATCCAGGACGTAAGGCAAAGCGGATTAGAAAATAGTTTTTAGCCCCGTTGACTTGCATTCAAATTTTCATTCTTCCGGGGACCCGTGAGCCGACCGGGAAGAGAGGAGACCTAGGCCCCCTACTGTAGTGAAATATTTGGCATGTTACAGGTTTGAGATGCACTTTTTTGATCTTTGTTAGGAGAGTCGGTACTCCGTTTACTTTTGTGGTCCCATAAATTGAGATGATTTATGTTTGAATCTGCTGATGAGAGGGCACTTGAATGTAATTTTTTCCATACTCAGAAATTTGAGATATTCTCATATTTATTTTCTAAGTTGATAAATGAGTACTCAGGATTACTCATGTAACTTTCTACACATACTTGAAAAGTATTTGACCGTATTACTTTCAAAGCCACTGTTGGGTAACTACAGATTTGTTATATTTTACAAGGTAAGCAAAAATAAATGTTGCCTTTTGGTCAAAAGATTGCTTCTGTTTACAGTTTTAGAATCACTTTATTTTACATTGTTAATTTGCATTTTTGGAGCACAACCAGTTTAAAGTCAAATTAAAATGTCCCATAGCTTTAACTAACTTGTACAACAAAGTAGTTAATCCTGGAGCTGACACTATTTGTTAATACTGATTGTGAACCGATTTAAATTGAGAATAGAGAATCGATTCTGAATCGAATCGGCACCCCAAAAATCGGAATCGAATCAAATCGTGAGTTGCTCTAAGATTCACATCGTTGGATGTGAATCCAACCCCCAAAAATGTTCTAATTACTATTTTCACCAATTAATTTATTTACAGCAACTTCACATAAAATCAACAGTTTTAAATATTTTTATGGTTGACGGGTTGTTCCTGTCATGGTTTTACAGCTCATCACTGTTAAATGCATGGTTATTTTTTCCAGTGTAACCTGGAATAAACAAAACTGTGCTATGAAACTCTTTAGTTCAGAGATTATGTCGTTGCAACATTGTAGAGCTGGGCAATATATAGAAAATTTATCGTTATCACAATTTCTGACTCTTATTGAGATAATTTTTCCCAAGTCAATACATCTGATAATAAAAAAAATGAAAAAATGTGTGTAGGCTGGCAACATTCATGTCCCTTTAAGAAGCTGTACCACCTTGCATCACGTAAAAATGTGACTCAACGTGATACATGTGACAGCCCCATCTAGAGGACTACTTTTGTTCTGCACATCCCTGTAGTTATTGTCCATTTATTGTTATCGAGGTGAAATCCTCAATATATCGTGGTATTGATTTTAGGCCATATCACCAAGTCCTACAACATTATTATTTCTACAAAGTTGCATCTACCAGCTCAGATTTCAAACTACTTGTTTATGTTGAGATTTCAAACATGTTGGTTCAAAACAAAATGTCTCCCCATTACGGACATGTGGTGCATAAATACCATAGTAAACCCTTTAGCTTTCATCAAATACGACGACATATTCTGGGAGAAATTGTTCCTGTATTCCTGCTGGAAGACATGAGTAAATATAACATGTTAGCCGAGTAATTAGTCAGTAAAAAGTAAAGTCTAGTTTGCAATGAAAAGATGAGAAGACTGGAGTGGAGCTGCATCAGATCGACTCTCCATCATCCTGCTGACTAAATTAGGACCTTCTCAGTTCTGCATGTTTTTTCATTAATGAACAAAAGAAAGAAAATTCACTATGCCATGTTATTTTTAATGATTAGAAAAAACATAGTTGTTTATAGTGGTCCAAGAAAAGGGTAGATGTAAAGATTAAAGCAGGGGTGCCCAATCCTTGTCCCGGAGGGCCGGTATCCTGCATGTTTCAGTTTGAATTCTGTTTCAACACACCTGATTTCAATCAGCAGCTAATTAACAGGCAACCACAAAACCTGCTGGATGCCGGCCCTCCAGGACCAGGACTGGGCACCCCCTGGATTAAAGGATCCTGGGGAAGGATTTGTAGGAAAAAGAAAATAAGAAGTAAGAATGACACCCTGTGGTCAAATGTGGTTACTGCAGTCCATGTATCAAAACAAAGTTGTCTCTGAGCAGCTACGGATCAGCTCCAGAAGATTCTAGATGACAAGTGAAGGCGAGTCGGACACAGTAGTGAGTAGATAAATATAGTTCACTGTAATATTGAGTTGTTGTTAATAGAAAAAAGTAGCTTCAGATATTTTTAGAGTGAACAATTTTTTCTCATTTATCGTTAGTATTCATTTATCATTTACTAAGATGAGTGAAAAAAATGTATCGACAAAAATCGAACGGTGTTTAAGAGAGAATTAAAAATGCCCACAGTATTTATGAGAACTTTAAAATAAAATCTGTCTACATGGTCTAAGTGTTGTACGCGTTCAAAATAAAGACAACAAAACCATACTTACGTGTAAACATAGTAAGGAACCAGGGAATAGCATAAAGCTGTGAGGAAAAAAGAAATCAGACAAGAAACACAGTTAGTTCAAGTGACATTCGTTAGAATTTACAAAAGCCATAAGGCAGGGGTGTCCAAAGCGAGGCCCGAGGACCATTTGCGGCCCTCTGAGTGATTTTGCGTGGCCCTCACAGGCGTTTGTAGAATTGTGGAATTAAGTCTCCCCAGGAGGCTGTTGATATCAATTCATACATTTTGATATTTTATGTTCAAATTTTACTTATATATATATATATATATATACATACACACTAGATATTTTTTGTGGCCCGAGAGGAATTTTAACTTCATGATTTTGGCCCTCATCTTGAAAAGTTTGGACATCTCTGCCATAAGGTTTTATATTTTAAATTCTGGTGATACTAGATGTTTTCTGACACGCCTGCTCTCTTTTTGTGCGAACAATGATATGGCAGATGACTCTCCTCTGTCTGCTCCTTCCTGTGCTAGTCCAGTTCTCAGGAGTTGGTGAATAATTCACACTAAAATCGTGTTACAAACACCACAGGGCTTTGAGAATCAGAAGCTTTTGACCTTGCAATACAAGTCATTTTTTCATGTATATTCTATGCTTTTCAAGGTTTGAGTCTCATGTTGTTGAAGACAAAAGTCAAAACACGTCTGTTTTGTGTCCAATTCATAGACTTGAGTCTCCATCTCTGTCCTCCACAGTAATTTACATAAAATGTGGGTGACTTTTCTTTTAAATGAATCCATAATACCTCTTTTAAATGTGAGAAACTCCGCCTCCACAGAGACGCTGCTTGGTTGTTGGCTCTGTTTCAAACACGTAGGTCTTCTTATGTGAGGGCTTTGTGAATAAAACTGATGTGCAAAACCCTAATTTGCACCCTCAAAAGAAACTGAATCCCTTGTGAATTCAGGATTTGGAGTGTAAATTACATCATTCATCTGTTAATTGGTTTTAACTGGGGAGATTTCTGTTCATGATAGAAGCATTTCACATGACTGCAGATCTTTACAGATGATGGAAAACAAACTGAAACTGAGCGATTTGCTTCGGTTCTTAATCAAAGATCACATCAGTCAATTTATACCTCCTTTTTCCTTCCTTTCTTGTGCATTTGAAAACTAAAGGACACAGTATTTCCACCATTAACAAACTGGCTGCTATCGCTGTGTTTCCCTCCAGCAGCCAAGAGGTCTGAAAGAGGGAAACTGCGGCTTATCTCACCATCATTAGACGGCTAACTGCGAGGGGGCCTGTGACTGTACGTCAGACCTCGTGTTCCCAACACAGATGAGCTAGAAAGTCGCTTAACTCCCAGCATCATCCTCAGTCAGCAGTAGAGCCGTGAGTACAGCCAGACTGCATTAACGCAAACCACACTCTGGAGAGCAGATGAGGCCAAATTGAACGTGGCCTGAATTAAAGCCACCGGCTGCATGTAATTGTAGTCACTGCCGGTTGCGTTTACTAGAAAACAGACTACGGACAGTTGAATTGTTTTTTTTTAATCACTTATACATTATTTGTGCCTGCACTACCTTCAGTAGAATATCTCATATATTTTATGTAATTTAAAATAATTTTTAGGCTTATGCTTTTATTCATTCAGTGCAATGAAGATTCAGTTATGTTGACAAAAGAAGAGATTGAAGAGCAAGTAACGCCTAGACTAACTTTTTTTGGCTGATAACATGTATAGACGAGTGTCTAATGGTGCTGTGCACATGTGTAATCATTGGTGCGGCAGTTTAGTGCAACTTACTTTAAATTTAATATTTCAGCCCAAAACCATAATTATATCTCCATCTTAAGGGACTTTACAGACTTTTGAATTTTTATGCTCACGACTGCCCCCTCAGGCCAAAAGCGTAACGGCAGCTTCAATAGTAGGCTCGTGCACGAGGTGCGCATGCTGTACGTGCACACCCCTTAACGAAAATAACAGCTGAGACAGTCCTGTGTGTGTGTGTGTGTGTGTGTGTGTGTGTGTGTGTGTGTGTGTGTGTGTGTGTGTGTGTGTGTGTGTGTGTGTGTGTGTGTGTGTGTGTGTGTGTGTGTGTGTGTGTGTGTGTGTGGCCCGGAGGATAGAGGACAGGAGAACGCACAGCTAATTAATTAATTAATTAATTTGGTTCTGTACCTTTCTCTTCAGCACAGCCGACAAAGGTTCAAGATGGGTCAGTGCTGCTTGCTCAGATCATTCCATTCCCTTGCTTGAAAAATTGTTCCAAAATGAAAGTTGAACCCACCTAGGGCTGCAACAACGAATCGATAAATTCGATGAAAATCGATTACTAAAAGCGTTGGCAACGAATTGTGTCATCGATTCGTTGTGTCGCACAACTCTTCCAAAAGCGCCCTTCCCGCCCGCCGTTGCGTGCAGACCAGAGCAAGTCAGATCAGCGCGAGGGAGAGCCGGCAGATCAGCGCGAGGGAGAGCCGCAGATCAGCGTGAGGGAGAGCCGGTACCGGCAGATCAGCGCGAGGGAGAGCCTGCAGACTTGCGCTGCTGCGAACCGGTTCCGCATTGTTGAGCAGCGATCCAGGCAGCTGCTTCCAGCGCACGGTCCATTCTCAAAGTGGCGCAACCAAAAAACTATAATTAGCACACGATCGTTCTTGTCTGCACATGTTCTCTATTTCCTGTCTTATTTGTGCCTGAAGCGCGCTACTGCGGAGCTCATCACCTGTGCTGTGGTGATGTCACCTCACGCAGCATCGAAAACGCGCTCTGCGCTTTTCGGTCAGGAGATCCCTTTGATCTGCTCAAAAGTAACTGATGAGGTGAAAAGGTAAGAATCCAGGCAACAGATTTTCTGGAGAATTATGAGGAGATGCAGGAAGATGAGAGACAGACAGGACAGGAAAATAGTTAAATAAAAACAAGAAAACAAAACAAAGTGTTGAAAAGTAAAATGTAGGTAGATTTATCTCCACTACACGTTTTTACCAGTAAAAAACAATAAGTTACACACATGTCATATTTATACATCTGATACAATTCAGATCACCTTCAAAACTCAGTCACACACCCAGGGCCGTTTCAAGACATTTTGGGGGCCAAGTCAAAAATCCCCCCCCATAACTGGGCTCCCCAGAAGCCTCTGTGTAATTCATACCCTCTCCAGTAGTGTTAGTTATACGGTGTTTATAAAAGCCCCTCAGACATTACTGACATGTTCTAATATTATCAGATGAAAAACTAAATTATCAGACATGCTGTCTCATCTGCTGCTTTTCTAAACTTGCAAAAAGTAACAAAACCATTTGAAAGCCACTATTTGTGGATTCTCTGAAAGTTTCCGTGGAGTGTGTGACAACTTATTTTTTCATTGATCCTATCGTCTAATCTCACAGCTGAAACAAGCATCCTTAATAATCTGAGCACAGGAAGCTTACCGATGCTGTAGTAAAACAAAAGGTATAATAATTTATTATTAATAAAACCTTGTTGCAGCACTAAAGCAGAAAAATGAGATTTTGCATTAAATATGCAAAATATTTACATATGAATTGTTTTAGATCCCTTTTATTGGCAGAATCTGATATTAATTTAGTTCTTACAAAAAATGGGTCCCAGCGTGGTTTGTGTGGCGTTGCCATAGTGTGACATCATAGGCACAGATCCCCTGTCCTCTTGTTTGGAAATGGAAATATGATCACCCTACATTAAACAAACTGTCCACCCGAGCTTTTGCACTGCACAGAGACGCTTCGCTGCCTACGACTGGACGTCAGTTGAGAGTCAGTCTCATGCAGACTGACCAATGAAGAGAGGGCCTCAAGTTAAGACCCTCTCCTCATTGGTCAGTCCACACGAGGTGGGTCAAAGGTTACTCTGGGCGGGTTACGTGTTGTCAGGCATTCAAGTATTGAGTATATTTACTGCATATTACAGTAAAATATTCTGTATGTGACCACATTATGGTGATCCTCGGGTCGTGATGATGGAACCCTTGAATATTGTTGCCCAGGGTACAACAAAGTGTTAATCTGGCCCTGGTTCCGCCGTCGCATTCCCGCAGAAACTGGTTGATCACACCGGGGTCAGACTGCTAGCATGTGGTTTTACAACCACATGTCCTCGGAAGCAAAAACGCTTTTAAAAGGGAGGGAGGAGTCCTAACTGTTGCTGCAGGCGTGTTGTGTGAGAGTGCAGTTATATACTGGTTAATATATTTTTGGGTTCAGTTGCTTTCATGTGGCCTAATGTGAGTCTATTTGGGATCATTGGAATGATCAGCAGCATTTCTTGATGTGACTTTATGGCAGTTGCCCAGGGCATCATCGCAAGGAGGATGGCATTCATTTACTTTTGTTTTATTTGGTATTTTTTCAGTCATTTTTGGAAATAGTGATCAATTTTGATTAATTCACAGCCTATGTTTAATTACATTTAAAATAAATGTCAACAGATGAGATCAAACAAAACAGATGAGAATTGCCCTTAAGCTGTTTAACTTGGACCAAGCATTTTAGGTCACAGATAGATGTAGATTAGGGTATCTGTCTATACACCTTATAAGACAATTTAGGTGATGGCATGTTGTTTTTCTGCTATTGAACTGTTTTCTAATAATGTTGTGTTAAATAAAGTGAAGGAAGGAGAGAAATAACGTTTCCCTAGCAGTTTTTAAAAATTTCCCCATTTAATCCGATTAATCGATTAATCGTGTCGAGACCCCATCCGATTAATCGATTATCCAAATAATCGTTTGTTGCAGCCCTAAACCCACCTCTTTTTTATCTGTGAATTCAATGCCGTTCAGCGAGTCTCAAATATAAATGTAGGCATCTTACTGTAAAAAAATATACCATAAATGTAAAAAAAAAAAACTCTAAATATACTACGTTCACATCCAGAATCGAACCCAGGTCTTCTGCACAAGAGTCAGACGTCTTACAAGGTGAGCTAAATCAACAGTGACATCTTTAGTATCTGTAACATTTATATCCTTGATGACAGCTGAAACAACGTTCAAAGATTGGTTTGGAGTGAAAATGGCTATTTTGTTGCTAATTTGCAGGAAATATCTAGAAGAAAGTTCTACAGAAATTAGCTAAGGGTCCTCAGAAATGTAGCTAGGTTTGTCACTAGGCGTTAGGAACAGCGACAAAGTCGCTGAGTTGGCACTACCTCTCTCTCTGCTGTTAAAGCTATGGATTGCAAATGCTATGGGCGATGCCTGAGCGTGAACGCGCATGAAGCAGCCTGCTCGACCCGAGCATCTCTCTTTTTCTGTGATTTTACAGAAAAACAGGCAATCACAGTAAAAATGCCAGGGTTCATTCTACAGGACCAGGGCATTGCAGGAGAATGTATGAAGAAGAAATGTATTATTTCTATACATGTTTTGGCTGTCAAACTTCCATAATGTCCCTTTAAGGTTAAAAACTCTGCTCCACCTTTATGTAGAACCAGCTGTGGCTGATGGCTACGCTGAAAAGTGTGATGTTGTCAGCAAATTACTACGTGGCTGCACTGCACTGGTCTCCAGGTGAGGCAGCCGCACCTCCATCTGGCTCAGACTCTCACCTGCCATTATGAAACGTTGGCATTCGGAGCCACTCGCCTTTTTGAAAAAAATGCCCTCCTCCCCCTTTTCATCTGATGATCGCATTTAACAGGAAATCCTCCAGAATGCTGCAGAATCTGTGTCTGCTTATCTCCTGAGGGGTAAGTCTTGTGCGAGTGTGTGCGTTGTACACGCGCTCGTTAACAACTCGTTGTTAGACTTAGAAACTCCAACAACACAAGTTGAGGGGGGTGCGGTCTATCACTGCCTCAGTGCCATTCTCTCGGCCCACCAGGCGATGCCTCTTTCAGAAGTGTTTTCCTAACAGGAAGTGTGGATGAAATACATCTCCACCCATGCATTGACTCCCACTTTAATTATAGCATCTAATTGGAATACATGCGGCATTAAAGGTGTGGTTCACTGAAAAAACATTTTTAATGATTATTTCTGATTATAATCGGTCACTCTGAGATTTTCATGCAGGCTGAGCATGAAAATTGTCTCCTTCACGTATCTCCTGCATTAGCTTATGATAGAAAATAGACGGTAAAAATCTAGGAATTGAAAGGCCTGACACATCTATGTCACTCATGGACTCACCGATCTTTACTCACGACGGGGAAGGCTGTTGTTGTTTTAGTGTCCAGGACTCATGAGACAACATCCTGACTTGTAGAAACTATGTTAGCATTAGCAACTCCGCCGCACAGCAGAAGCTTCTGCAGGCTTGTGTTATTTGTGGAGATGAAACATCTACGCTGCAAGTCAGTGGTAGAGTCGTGTTTCTTTTATCCAGTCTGAGGCGAGATGTCCAAATATCAGGAAATAAGACTCCAAATCCCACAGTCTGCTGCCACTTTGCGCAGCAGCAGACTTGTCCGTGCTTATATAAGCAATTGTGCGCTTCTTTTTGTCCTGAGTATGACTTGCAAGGCATTCATTCCTACCAGAGACCATTGCAAATGTACTGATTAAACACGTTTCCCACACCTTTAAGAAAGATACTTCCAGTTATCATGACCTAACAATGAAAAAAAGAGTTTGATTTGAAAGCCAAGCCAAGAATATTCCGCACGAGTTTAAGCCATCAGACAAAACACTGAAGGAGCAAAGAACTGATCTGCTCAAGATAAAGACTTCATCTAAAAACAGCAATATCATCTACAATCAACGTTTTTTAAAAAGCTTCTTGTAATTTCTGAAAACTCAGAACCACATCCGAGATTCTGACGCATGAAGTCCAGACATCTCTGGCTCCATTTTTCCTCCGGGTGACGTCTTAAAGGTCACTCCACAGATGACACGCATTCATCAGCGCACAACTGAAACTGCGGACGGGCAGCGCAGGCTTTAACCTTGCGACTGAGCAGAGCAGAGAAGAAAAAGAGCAGGAGGAAGTGACACAGTCAAAGAAACAAGAAGTTATTAAGTCTGCCTAGCAGATATTAGCTGCTGTATAAATTATCTGGCATAAGACTTCAGGGGGGACTTGACCGTGACCACAAATTGTAGAAATGGAGGTTGTCGAACAAAAAAAGCGTTGCTGACAATGAAACTTCACACGCTGAAATGTATGGGTGGTCATTGTGCTCTGTCCCCTGGCAAGGAGCCAGAAAATAAGACAAAAAATTGCTATTGTCTTTGAATTCACGTTAAAGTTATACTCCTGCTAAAAGACAAGTGCTGCCCGTCTGTCAGAACCCTTTTGTCCTCGGTAACTTACATCCGGGATGAAACCGATCTCATTTAGATGGTTGCTCAGCTCTGGGTCGTGAAAGGCAATCATTTGGGAGAAAACGGTCAAGTATTCTGAAAGGAAAGAGGGGAAAGAAATATCAAGAGTTGAAAAAAGTAAGGAGAGCAAATAAGATCAATAATTAAAGAGCATATAATTCACTAATGAAGTAGAGTTTTACAACATTATCGTCTTACACCTATGTCACACTGGAAGCATCAGCGTTGCGGAACGTTTACTCACGAGCTTCGATGTGGTTCATACACACGGGAGAGTCTTGGCCGCGTAACGGCTTCCTCGCTGTGCTTCTCGTTTGACTTGCATGATCATAAAATCCCTCAAGGCTTCCGCCATCCTCCTCGCTCGACTCACAAGATCACAGGATCCCAAGAGACTTCAAAGGTTACAGTTCCACCATTAAACCAAATAGAAGGAAATCACGTTTGATGTCATATATGATGTCGTTTCTCTCTCCTGCCAGGATTAAAGCCATGGAAAACACACGGCTGCACTTCTCGAATGATGCTGGGGTAAATAAGTTGTTAGGTCACATGTAAGCTAAATATATATGAAATTGCATTGCTGCAATACTTTTATTTTGAACATCACCACGGATTTTACACTAACGCCGTGTGTGATTTCCTGTCTAGCCCTATCTGTGGAAACTGGCGTGTCCCAGAAGTGGCTTGCGGCAAAAAAAGAACCCGATCCGATTTTTGGCGGCACAGCGCAGTGTGGCGTGCTGCTTCCGGGATGCGCCTGAAAACTGCAGCGTAGCGGTTGGTTTGAAACACCCCATTGACTATAGTGGATTCTATTTAAAGCAATGCTGTTCCACGCCGCTGATGCTTCCAGTGTGAAATAGGGGTAAGGTTGAGAAATGGAGAAATTCATCGCCAAATCTGACCAAAACTAGCCAGTTGTGTGTTTGCTAACGCCACCTAGCTGTGGCATCCATCTAATGAGGACTTTTGCAAAGTTTCATGAAAAATAAATCTTTTAAAGTGGTTATTAGCTATTCTGCCAACAGAAAAGTGGCGTTTCCTTCGACAATTAATGCTAAATTTTAAGCAAAGACCAAACACGGTGAGTGACATCAGGAGTGTGTGCTGGGGAAGAAGTTTAGCAGCTGCAAAACCAGTTTGTAGCCCAATATCAGTAAATCTGATGGAGTTTTGTGTTTGTTAATGTGTATTAGCTAAAGTAAGCGTTTTGAATTAGACTGACTCAAAAGGTTCATCATGTGGAGATGAATGTTTCCAGAGAATTCCTTTAAAATCAATTCAGTGGTACTTGACACACACACATGCCTGCGTTTACCCATTTAAGTAGGTCTTCCTTTTAAAAGCCAAACTGTTCACCTCTGACTGTTGATCTATAACAAGACTTGAAAAGCGAACTCCTGTAATCGGTGACCGAACCTCCCTTCTTCCAACTAAACATCGACAAAAGGAACTCTGGCCACACGAGTGTATCAGCCACCTCTCCAGGGCAGCTGATCGTGGAAACATATGATAATAGCCGCACTCCCAACGGAGTTTGGGAGGTGTGCCGTGCAGCTGTTTATCAGTCACGCAGAAATTGATTGTGACATTTCTCTGTGGGCATTTGCGGTTTCATTTGTTTTCTCTAGCTCTAAATGATGTGGCTCAGCTGTAAACTCCATTAAGACCGACTGAAATTAGTTTTTCACACCTTAGGAGCAGCATCGAGCCCAAATTTAATCAGCATTAAGCTGACAGCCGGATGCTCGGTGGCAGCCCATGATAATTTGTTTTTGAATTTAAAGTCTCTTGCCGCGCTTAATAGTTGTTGCTCAAATTTCAGTGACTGTTAAAGTTTAAAAATGATGGCTAGTAACAGTGGAGGTAATGTAGAAACGTGATGCTGCTTCAAATTTAAAGTACAATTAATAGAAAGTAAAACAAATGTGTGGAACTAGGATTGGGACAATATTACATAACTTGTACCAAGATTTGTAACCCGTAACATGTTTTGTAACTGTAACTTTCATTTTGTAACTTGCAGAAAAAAATCAATGTACACGTTTCAAATCACAACTCTCAAAACACAAGTCTACAAGTACAAAACATTTTGTCCCAATTCTAGCTTCCTTCTCAAAGAACCAATGACAGGCTTTATCTGACCAGCAAAAAATGAGTCTTGGATTCCTCTCGAAGATAATTCCTGTTGGAAGCAAGCTAGAATTGGGACAAAATGTGTAAGTACATGCGTGTACTTACACATGCGTGTACACACACACACATGTGTAAGTACATGCGTGTACTTACACATGTGTGTGTGTGTACACGCATGTGCCCAGTATTTAATCATTTTTTACACATGAACCCACTTTCAGTACTTGTAGACTTGGGTTTTGTAACTGTAGACTGAGATTTGTGTTTTGAAAGTTGTGATTTGAAACTTGTACATTGCTTTTTTCTGCAAGTTACAAAATGAGAGTTTCATGTTACGTACCAAAGTTACATGCTAAAAAAACCAAAGTTACGTGTTACAAAACAAAAGTTACATTTTACAAAACAAAAGTCATTGTTACAAAACATGTTACAAGTTAAATGTAATATTGTCCCAATTCTAGTTCCATACAAATGCAGCTCAGTGTTCATGACAATAAATATCTATACTTGTGTGCTTTTTAACATTGAATGTGCTACTACTAGTTCGTGTGTGTGTGTGTGTGTGTACTCGCATGTGCCCAGTATTTAATCATTTTTTACACATGAACCCACTTTAAAATGGTGAAAATATTCCTTAAAGTTAATAAGTGTCTTCTCAAACTTTCAGTGAATTGTGACAGAAGGCTGCTCATACTGAGCCAGGATATGTTGGAGGTTACTTCCTGTTAAAAGGGAGTTTTCCTCTCCACTGTTGCTACATGCTTGCTTATTATGAGAAAGCATTGTAAAGTCTCTGACACAAGTCAGTGACACGATGCAGGATTTCCTTACATAGGGAACTTTGAACTAAATGGCATAGTAAAGTGAACTCAGTGCACTAATTAGCTGGTTCAACTGGAATGTTTACTTTGGGAAGTGCCTTGAGACAACGCTTGCTGTGATTTGGCGCTGCATAAGTAAACTCGATTGAACTGAAGTGTAACTCACCTTGGATGACATGAGAGTTGTCCTTCAGGAAAAAGTTGTACAAGTACTTAGGGATGAATGCAGACATGCAGGCGTACGCTAAGGCTATATGCAACATAAAGATAAAACAAAATACATTAGTAATGAATAAAACTGAAAAAAGTAATCAGCTCTAAAAAGTAATCCTTACCCTCATTATTAAAGTTCAAATACAGGAATGGTGCACAAAGTGAATCCAAACCTTAAAAAGAGAAGAAATAAATTCTTTTGAAGTAAAACTGATCAACTTGATGTAGAAGAAGACGATGCTTTCTAAACGTAGCATCACCACCATCTAGTGTCCAGTTACACATGCAGGAGAGAAAAGAGAAGAGAGACGGTGAGCGACTGACCCTGCCAGTAGACCAGGTCAGGGTGGGAGACCACCCAGGCTTTCAGCACACGCCTAAACTTAATGTGGCCTTCAGGAGACGACAGCAACTCATCATACTGGTGGCAGCGAGGGATGTCCACCTCAATCTGTGCACAAAGACACACACAATGTCTGCATGAAGTAAATAATTGATCACATCAAACCAAAATGCCACAGACTCTACCTGTCTGTCAGTTGGAATGGGGGTATCCTTATCTATGCTGTCATACTTGGCTTGAATGTCACCCTGAGCATAAAAAGACACAGATGAGACAAAAAAAAAACACAAATGAAATTTTTTATTTATTTTTTTGTACCTCAATGCCGAGCAGAGCAGCCCACGCCAATCCTCTCACAAGAGGAGGAATATCCACTCTGGCCTCTTTACACACAAGGTTCTTCTTGTATGGGTAAGCCTAAAAAAACACATTTCATCTAAAATTATCTTTTTTTTTATTATAATAACATTTATTCTGAAAGAATTTCCAGGCTCTGACACCCGTGGGAACTTTTTCTGACTGGGAATTACAAAAAAAAAAAGCTCCTGATACACACAAATCTGTATGCAACCCTGACCTTGAGCAGCCTGTCAAAGAGGATGATGCGGATGAGCTGGTACTCGGTGTCCCTCTCGCGGATGATGAGTGGCAGCATGACGGTGGCCGACAGCTCGTTGCTGCTGTTGGACTGCGGCAAACCCGACTGTCTGGAGGAGGAAGAAAGGGAAAAGGGATGTGATGTTAGTCACACCAAAAAAAAAAAAAGTAAAAAAAAAAAAATGACAGGGTGATGTGAAAAATAGTGACAGGGAGGAAGACATGACACAAGCAGGTTGAGGATGGAGAAGGCTTACTGGTCTTCCAGGAGGGGGAAGTAAGCTTCTCCAGCTACATCCTTCAGTCTCTGGAAAAAACATGTTTTTAGTTTTCTGTTTTAACACCGTAAAATATTCAAGCTATATATATAAATATGTGTGTGTATGTGTGTGTGTGTGTGTGTGCGTGCGTGCGTGTGTGTGCATGAACATAAATATGTGCTAAATGTGATTTGTGTTACAGTAAAAGCAGTAATGGTGACAGGAAGGAAACACTTGTTTTTGTTTTAAAAAATTGTTATATAAAGAAAGTTGTCAAGCACATAACTTCACCAGGGAATGAGACACTGGACTTGTATTTCATTAATACACGTTGTAGGAGCCAATATTGTTATGGTTTAGATTATCTTATGGTCTAAGTTTATTTTGATAATGTTTTATGTACATTTCAGTTTATTGCACTATGGTTTGTATTTCCTTTGACCACTGGTGGCACTGCGGAGCCTATAAAGGTGTTGAGGTGGCAGTGCATTGGCGTTTTCTGGGTGACGGAAGGTCACACTGTTTTTACCACTTCGTTTGGTTTCATATGCCACATCTAATTTGCCGTTATAATTTTCATCATTTACATAAACCTGGACAAGAAATAGCCATTGTGGACCCAGCTTGTGATCGTCATCACATTCAATAAATGGGACAATAAACCCAAACCCGCTTTCTGCCTGGACAATATTGTTGAAGCGAGTCATTGCCTCCACCCGCACCCGAGGGTGACTAAAAGTGGGACTTGATAGTCACTACACACGTGCTATTTCATATAATATATACAGAATGTAACAATATATGTAATATATACATGCACGCTCTCTACATTAGGGCTGTGCAATATTAGGAAAACCTGCGAAGCACGAGAGCAGTGATTAATACTGAAATGACGATATGACTTGCAATAAATAAATACTTAACTCAAGAACAAAAAACATCTAAACAAAGAAATAATAATGACTTCAAATATCATAAAGATGGGAAAAGCAAAAACTGTGATTAAAAGATGTGAGGAAAGGGAAAATGAAAATAAACAAGAAAAGGCAATCAGTGGATCCTGGGGAAAGCAGAACGAAGCTAACTGCTTACCGCCCAGGGGGCGGGCATCAACCTCCTCGATTGGCCAAATGGGTGAAGGGCTCTATTTGATTTGTCAAAAACGTCATGCTTCTGTATGATTGACAAAATGCATTATGTGTATCAAACCTTTGAGCTGACCATTCCTTGCGTTTTTTTCTGTTCTTTGCAATATGTGTATTGTGAATGCCATTATCACAATGATGACACATACTGCAATGTATTGTGCATCTGCACTCTATACTCTACCTAACTTAAGTCTACATTTCTACTAGATGAACACGTGTCACAAAAAAACTTCACACATAGCTAGAACTGGGTATTGATTCAAATTTCAAGAATCGATTAGATTCCGATTCTAAAAAGTTGGAATTGATTATCCTGATCTGATCTAATTTAATCTGTTCCAATACAATATTGATCTGGATCAATGCGATTAAAAATGTTGTTTTTTAGCTGTTACCTTAAAAGTGTGGGAAACTTGTTTATTCAATACATCTCTAGTAGGAGTGAATGCCTTGTAACCCGTACTCAGGGCAAAAAAAGCCCAGAATTGCTTGGATCAACACAGACAAGTCTGCTGCCGCAGAGTGGCTTCAGATGGAAGGATTTGGAGTCTTGTTTTCTGATATTTGGACATCTCACCTCCAATTGGATAACAGCAACACAACTCTACCACTTTCTTTCAACGTGGATGTTTTATCTCCACAAATAAGCCTGAAGGAGTTTCTTTGTGTGGTGGTGGAGTTGCTAATGCTAACGGTTAGCTTTTGCAGTCAAGCTGTTGTCTGCGGTTTCCTGGATGCTAAAACAACAACAGCATTCCCCGTCGCAAGTCAAGAAGGGCGAGTCCACAAATGTTAAGTGACAGTGTGACGTAGATCTGTCCTAGAATCCTAGATTTTCACCGTCTATTGTCTATCAGAAGCTAATGCAGGAGATGGGTGTAGGAGACTATTTTCGTGTTCACACAGCGTGAAAAACTCACAGTGACCCATTATAATCAGAAATAATCATTCAAAATGTTTTTTTTCAGTGACTTGCACCTTTAATAATATACCTGGACTTTAAAGAGGGACTGCACACCATCAGAAAATGTAACTCCATCCCTAGTCAAGATTTGAAAAATGCTATGAAAGTGGGCGTTGCCAGAAGGCACAGAGTAGCATGGCCAAGTGTGGGGAGTTTCCATCCTGGGAGGGAGGGGGAGTGGGAGGAGACTGTACCGATGACGTGAAATTGTACCAGCCCCAGTCAATCACAAGTTTAAAATGCAGTAGCTGCTGTTCTGCCACAGGGGGCAGCACTAAGACGTTTTTAAGTTTACACAAATATGTCAAAAAATGCACAGAAACAGACAGATTGCATTCGTAAAGACCCAATTATACAGTTAATTAGCAAAAAATAATTATTTTGGAGTCTAGTTACTCTTTAATGATGCAACACTGGTTGAGTTACAGTTAACTCATTCGCTGCCAGCCGTTTCCTGGTGATGATTTGGTCGTCATTGGCAGTGAACGGTTGGATTTAAAATGACGACTTTAGTCGTTATTGGCAGTGAATGAGTTAACCACAGACACTAAACCCTTTCAGATCCAAACTTTAAAATGGCCATCTGGACTTTTCCTTCCTATTTTAGCTGTAAACTAACTATGTAAACTATTAAATCCGTTTTTTGACTTATAAACAGATATTTGTCGACACAGAACTACACATAGCATCATATGGCTCACTTCTTTAACTGTAAATCCATCAATTACACAATGCTAACACTATAAAAGCAAGCATTTGTGATTATGCATGTTTGCGCATGACTCAGATAATATGTGAAATAATGTTAAACAGATGTTGGAGCAACATCTGCTGCTATTTTTACAGAAGAATTTTCTTAGTTTAACAACATCATTCAAATATTATCCAGCCCATAATACAACTAAGACTTGCTACCAATTAAAACCTTCCTACACCCTCTAGCTGCAGTCGTAAACTATAACAAATTGCCTATTTTACTACAGTTTTGCAGCTATCAGTAGAATTATGCTTAACGGCTTTACATTTCGGAGTTGGCACAGCGACAGCGTCACTGTGGTGTCATCAAGCAAGAAACTTCGATCCCGGCCCTGGCCGAATGACTCCCCGTCCTCCAGGACAAAACTAAAAACACATAAATACAAAAGCATTACCAAAACACGATGAACGCAGAGTGCTGTGTGGTGGTGGTGGTGTGAGATCTACTTGGGCAAGGTGCAGACTGGAGGTTTGGACCGTATGATTTCCTTGTTGGTAAGCTCCTTCTCCAAGTCTCCACCAGCAAGGCACCACAGATGGTAGACCTCGTCTATGCCCCTCTCTGACAAGTAGTCATCATTTTCATCTAATAAAGAAGACAGAGGGGAGAGAATAAAAACATGCTACAGCACAAACAGTATGATGGGTTAGGTAATTATTATTAAACAGAACTGAAATAAAATGTTTTACTAGATAAAAGCTCATGGAACAAGATAAAAACAAACGACAAAGATCTCATAGCTGTCATTAAAAATAAAACAATTATCTAAAACATCACTTTATTTTGTTTTGAGGCTTTTTTCAGAATTATTTATTATTTTATTGCAAAAATTATACAAATCTGAGCTATTTTATTAAATTTTTATTGAAAAAGTGCTGGAAACAAATGTGTGGCAATGAGGCATTTTTAATCAATATTCTGAATTATTTAGTTCCTACTATTAATGCAGGTTTGACTGATTAAAACGACCTCATGAGAATAACGCATTTTTCCAGCTAAAATAGAGTTTTTCGTGTCTCTGCACATTTGTCTGAGTGAAGCTGAAGGAGACCTTTACAAAGATCAGCGATGTCATCTGGGAGCTGGAGGTTTGCACAGCGGAGAGAGGAGGAGAACAAGCTGACGGGCTTCTGGAAAGGCGTATAGAGGCAGGAAATGCCGTGGAACAGCGGGTCTCCCAGCAGCCCTGCAGGGGTCGGTCTGGAGGACAAACGCGTAGCGGTCAGGATGGAAGCCTTAAAACGTGCCTTTGAGCTGCAGTTTGTATTTGTTGCATTACACAACGTTGTAACGTTCTCCATTTAAAATTTAGACAATTCTATTTGATTTCTATACCGCTGAATTGTTTCATGAGTTCATTAAAAACAATAAAAAACACTAAAAACCATAAAATCTTATGCAGAAATGTCCAGATTTACCTTTTGGATGGAAGAAATGTCAAACATTTCTTTAATAACTCCAGAACATTCTCAGGCAGCTCCTGCAAATATCCCATAATAACAATAATAATAATTGCATTTTCCTTCTTGCTGCAGAAAGATAATACTGCAAAGTTTTTAAGCTTTTGATAATTTCAGCACAATTACAAAATGTTTACATTCAGATTTAAATGTTTGTGACTAAATAAAAAGAAATAATTAAATCAATTAAAGCAGATTGCTCTGACTCAATAGACCTTAAATGTGAAACAACTCTGTGTGTAAATTATTTTCAGTAAAACATTCATTCTGGAAACAAATCAGGATAAAAATAAATCAGAACTCAGAAAACTTTAGAGATCATGAAGACATTTCCTTTGGTGGAAAATAGGAAATAACAACTGAACAAGTGTAATGGGACCAAGTGTTACAGCGGGACTATCTACTGATAAGTACTGTTGCTGAATATTAAAGGTTGAATATGGAACATGGACACTCTGGCGAACTCTGGTGTTCAGAGGTGGTATTGCAACAACATGACTAATTGAAGTGCCGTTGGGGTGTTGGTTCACTGCTGACAGTGTTGGGAAAGTTTGTTTAAAAAACAAACTAGTTCATAGTTCTTTTTTTTTCTCTTATATATATAAAACTTATGAAATAATTTTCCAATAGTCCACACTCATACCCAGCAGCAGTTTTTACCCTACAGTATATTCTCAATAACATGAGGAAAACATTATTTGAACAGTTTTTTTAATGAGAAATTATTAAACAATCTTAGGATACAGGCTGAGGTTGCAAACTCAAAGTGCAATATTTAAAGTGCAAAACATTAAAAAATGTATAATTTTTCAGTTAAGTCCCTTTATGATTTTTCTGAATGTGCGTTGACTCCAGCACACAGCATAGACGTAGAAGTGTAGACGCCGCACCAACCGCCACTGCCTATGTTTGGCCGCATTTGCGGGTTCCACTTTTTATCTACGGCTAACAGGATGTTTTAGCTAGGCTTTAGCTCCGGAAAAGCTCTGTGGAGATCTGGAGCTAGAACGGTGAAAGAACGTGTTCATAAACTCGTTCATGCACGCCAGGACGAACGCACTCACTTTTACGTTCGTCAGGCCAAATACGAATGAGTTCAGTTCACGTTCACGAAAAAAACGAACAAATTCACGAACGATCGTTCAATGAACGCATTCGGGCACACAACTGACTGCTGGCACATTCCAGCACGATGTTCAGAGACAAATCGTACAGGATAAGGACTAATTTCTACTAAAAAGTTTATTTTACAACAGTATGTACCATTAGAACATCTTCTGGACTCAGAATCAGCTGCTTGTCTTGTCAAGTCTGCCATTTTACACAGTCCCAACCTTGCCTTGCTGAGTGGAGTTTTTAGCGCTACAGTGCCCTCTAGTGGCTGGTGGATGTAAACATAAACACAGCGTCGTGCCCGACAGAATAAAATTTTATTATTTACCTTTTTATATATAGCTTTAAAAGGAGAAACGGTACATTCTGCACACCTCTGAACGGAGGAATTATTTTTTAAAATATAGCTTTTAATTAAAATGTTCCATATTCTAAGTTTAACTATTGAGTAAAAAAGTAATAAATTATATTACTACTTTATTAGTGGTAGTTAGTAATACCATTTATAGTCATTTTTGCAAGAATCTACCTAAATAAAAACGAACAGGGAGCTATTAGGATTATTGGGAATATTAAATCACAATTGTGATTATAATCCTAAAAGTAGTTGATTAACCTAAAAAAACATGAGATAAATAAGCCTTCACTCATTTCTTGTTCAATAAGTTATTAAATATTTATTACGTTCAGTGAAAGAATTAATTCTAAAACTAAATAGTTTGAAAGTGACATAAAATTTATTTTCTTTGATTTTGGTCTAAATTGAAATTTTACATGAAATATAAAATGAATTGGTGTCTAAGTGATAACGAATTTACCTTAATAATGTCCAAACAGCCATGTTCCTCTGCAAGAACTGTGACGATGTCATCCATACAACCTAAGAGGAAACAAAAGTCACACCTTCAGCTCGACTCCGCTCACGAGCATTTGGCTCCACTCTGTTCGAGTCACTCACCCAGGGTTAAGATGAATTTCAGTTTCTCACTGATTTCTATATTCTGCAGCAGTCTCCTTCGCTGCAATCGATTCACAAAAATAAGAGCTTAAGGTCAAATGTGTTTTCACACGATGCGAATTCAGGAAAATCCCAACCGCTTCAAAATGTTGAATAAATGTATGAGAACGTTCATGAGGGGCTCTTACAGCACACAGTTCAAAGAGTAAGATGCCAAGAGACCAGACGTCGCTCTTGGGTCCCGAGGGCAGAGGAGCTTCATCGTGGGATGGGTCACTGGGGTGGAAGGAGCCCTGGGCGATCACCTCAGGAGCAAGGTAAGATGGGTAGCTGGGGTCAAAACGGCAGAGCAAAAACAGATATCACTCGTCAGACTGCAAATAGCACTTTTTAGAGTTTGGTTGGAGTAAAACCAGAGAAATGTAAGCTAAACACACAGATAACCAAGATAAATAATGACAAAAGGTTCTACCCAATAGGAAAATCCACATCTGCCCCGTGATCCGTCATGTGATAGAGGCCGAACTTTGCCAGGTTCACGTTTCCCTTCAAAGACAAAACTCACCTTAATGGCAATTTTACATTTAAATAAGCACTTACTTTTTTTTAAGTTGTTTATGGGTAACAAATAAAATGTTGTAAATGTTTCTAAATAATTAAAACACACATTTAAAGTGACAATATGTCGTTTTTACCATTAATTTTTGGAAATATCCATCAAAATGTTTTAAATTTTATTTACCGTAAATCCTCTAATACAGACCGGTATTCAATTAAAGGCCGGGTCTCCAATTCTGGCCAGTGTCGAAGTCAGCGGAGGCAAATAATGGCCGGTCTCTTATTGTGGCCGGGTGGAATGTGGTAACAAGCAAGTACGAGCGTCCCAGCGGCAGGGTTATAGTCCCCAAATCAACCAGCAGGAGGCAGTTGAAGTTCACGCAGACCATTTTTAGGCTTTTTCTTCAACGCTTTGTAACGCTACAGACACGATCCTCTATCACGCTCCTACCACACAGAGTCACGGTGTCAGTTAACCATGCTAATTCAACCCGCTCCACAGAACACACATCACCTTCCCTGTGGCTTACATAACACTCACACAACACGCAAATCAGCACATAGGAACTAGCAGAACGATAGGAAACACATATAACACAATACCCAGAATGCACCTGGCTTACAACCCCAGCCAGGTCATTACACTATCAAGTTCAAAGAGAACGTGCTGATTATGCTGCAGAACACTCTGGAGAGCAGCAGTAGGGGGTGTATGAACTACAGTAATCCCTCGTTTATCGCGGTAGATGCGTTCCAGACCTGGCCGCGATAGGTGAAAATCCGCGAAGTAGGGACTCCCAGCATGTCCCTCGCGGGGATTCCCTTCACGTCGCACCTACGTCACAAACCGCGGCTATAAACGGAAGTCGCCTTTCCAGCTCACCACTCAGTCATCGTTTCTTCAGATTCACGATCAGAGTTTCCAACCTACCGATCAATCCAACGAACTATCAGCTCATAGTAAGTTATCTTACTTACTTCTGGAAAGCCCGGCATTTCCGTGTCACTTTGTTGACGCTCGAACGCTCGGGGGTTTCCTAGAGCACCGACGCTATCACTTCCGCGTCTGTGAAACCACGCTCCCTATTGAATTATCGTATGATCACATTCTCCGTGATCAGCAACGAGGTGTGCCGGACCGTAGGTACTGACACGCGATCGTTCATGTCGGTTCATTTCCTTTAATGTTTTCTGTCTTTTATTTGCGCCTGATGTGTATCGCTGCTGTGGAGCGGGGCGCATCACAGCAGGGAGCGCTCAGCTGTTTTCGCGGTCGGTAGATCTGCCTCCTGAGCACGGCCACAGTAACAATCAGGTGTCGCCACCTCAAAAACTAATTTAACACGCGATCGTTCATGTCAATTCATTTCCTTTAATGTTTTCTGTCTTTTATTTGCGCCTGATGTGTTTCGCTGCATGCTGTGGAGCGGGGCGCTTCACCTTGTCCTCCGACGCACTGATCACTGATACGGCCGCCAGACAGCAAGCGCTCCGCTGTTTTAGCGGTCGGTAGATCTTTTAGAACTGCAGTTCAAAGGTAACTCATGAGGTGAATATATATGAACCCAGGTAGCAGTTTTTCTTTAGGATTGAGAGGAGATGCAGGAAGATAATAAACAGACAGGACAGAAAAATAGTCAAATAAAAACAAGTTAGTTTTTGTACCTGCTGGTTGCAACAAACAGACACCATTGAAGGTAATCAGAAGTGAGGAACAGAAAATGAAATAATTATTTTAATGTTTAGAGCAGCAGGAACTCCGAGAGGCTGCAGGAGCATCAGTGAGTTTGCGGCCGCTGCGCAGGGGGAGGGGGGAGAGGGCTGAAGCAGAAACTACCGTTGTTAAAAGAAATGTGTTTAACTTTGAAAATGTGGGCGCACTTTTAATTGTCAAAAACTCCAGCGAACCATTAGTTCATTTTGCTCAAATAGAAATAGAGGCCTGCCTCTAATACTGGCCCTCCTTCCAATAAAGGCCTGGAGCTTGATGAGCTTGAGTCAAATACAGGCCCGGGCCTGTATTAGAGGATTTACGGTATTTAACCTTTATTTTCCCAGGAAAAAAAGTCCCATTGAGATTTAAAACCTCTTTTTCTTGGGAGTCCTGCATGTTGTTGAAAATGAATGAAATGAAGCCCAGTTGTTGTAAAATATTAGCAGCTTCGTAACATATAACCATAAAAATGAGGTCTAAAACACATGGGAGCGGGTCTAAGTCTCTGGGCGACTCCATATTAGATGCCATGTTTCCTTATACGGGAGCCCATGAGGACAAAATGCATTTACTGATTAGTAACAAATGGTTACTAAACTTTCATCACTCTTAAATGTTGTTATTTTACACATTTACTTCTTTATTTTTTGTGATGAAAGGGAGTCTTGTGCTTGTTATTTAGCTAAAGTTCGCACTCCCCAGGGCTTTTTGACCCTAATGGGCATCCGTTGGTAAGGTCTTACTCCAACACAAAAATACTGCTTGCCTGCATCGATTTATGTATCTACTGCTCCCTATCACCAGGAAAAATACACACTGTCACTTTAAATTAGATTGTGTGAAACACTGAAATAGAATATTCTGTTAAAAAAGAATATTTGCTCTTTTTATTTGACACCAGTAGCACATGTTTTAAAGAACTAGACAGTGTTGGCTTGCTTTTAGCACCCCCTACTGTCCCTTTGTGAAACTGCAAGCCTAACTTATCTCCTTGCTGTGCGCTCGTCTTTTTAACACCTTAATCTAACAGCTGAGACATCTCCCCAGCCTTTCTTAGTGTCTACAGGAGTGATTAATCACTAAATTAAACAAATCAAATGTGTTCATGATCTAAAATATGCAGGAAACGTGCTGGAAGCAGACTGCAGCACCAGGTATGTCAGCTCCGTTTTTCCCAGCAGAGCAGCCCGCCAGTCTGAAGTTGCAAGTGGAGCACTCTGCCACAAGGGGCATTAGGGGCTGGGTGGCCTTTTGTTAACTCTGAAAGGGTCATTTTAGCACATACTAGCCAAGAAAATGATTTAAAAATAGGAAAAAGTTGCAAATTCTCCATTTAAAACGAAGGCTAAATGAAATTGATCCGCCACCTCTCACTAAACAAAACACACCTAAATATTTCTGAGACCAAGGGTCAGAGTTATAGAATTCTCCAGAATGTCTCAACGGATGTCAGACCGTAAAAGTCGCAGTAAAACAGTGATGCTCCTTATAACAACAACAATATAATAATAATAATAATAATAATAATAGCCGATAGGTTCCTTCCTTCTTTTAAATTTCTAAAAATCGAAAGTGCAAAGTTTCCATCGTTATTTCACATAGAGAAATATGTAGTAGCGAATGTAAAGTACTTTAGAAATTAAAAGCTTCATTTTGCCGCTTTTGTCTCACATTCATAATAATAATATCAATATGTGTTAATTCAGAACAGAAAAGTTGTTCTAAAAGGTTTAAAATTTGGTCTAAATGTTTTTTCTAAACGTAAAGATGAAATACTAACAACTACATCAAATTTAGAAAAACGTAATTATATTTAAATGTCTAGATTTGAATCTAAATGTAAAATGATGAAGATCATTAACATCTTAAAGATGCCCTAGTTTTAAATATAACTTATCAAAATAATTTTTATTACAGAAAACATTTTAAACAAGATTCAAATACCTTTGTCTTGTATTTAATGTTATATTTGTATATTATATCCAGAGGAAAATGATGTTGTTTGAGACGCTGCAGTCTGAGGGAGCGTGTACCTTGCAGTCCAGGAGCACGTTTTGCGTGCTGAGAGCTCTGTGCACCAAACCTTGTTTGTTCATAAACTCCAGACCTTCTAGAACCTCATAGGCGATTTGGAGCACCTTCTCTGGGCTGAAACCAAACCAGACCTTCATGTCATTAATGATGTGGTCATGCAAAATAAAAGATACATTCATTAACTTATTTATGCTCTCAAAACTATTCATGGCGTGTTTTGCAACATGCAAAAAACAGCCAGTAGCTGACAAGGTTGGTACAGACTGCATGCATGTACTTTGTCCCACATGTAAAGAATTACAACAGAAACAGACCTAATTTTGATTAATAATAGTTAAAGTGATGAAAAATAATGCACAATTAAAATGATTGCATTACCTTGCTGTTTGTCCTTGTTTGAAATCACCTAAGTTACTGGCATAATGCTCAGCAACAACAATCAGCCGTTCTGTGGAGTAAAATTAAGAAAAATTGATTTGTCAATAATCTGTATTAACACATATTTGATGATATAACTCATTCTAATCTGAATTTGGATCAGTTTTAGGACAGAAACTTCCCTGTGAACTAACGCAGGACTAGAATGGCAAAAGGAAACCAAAATGTTCTGGGTTAATAAAAGAAATCTTCACTAAACCTGAGAGAGAAGTGTGTATATCATCATCATCATCCTTCGTCTCTATTTCAGGTTCTTTTAAACTCACTCATCAGAATTAGTTTTGAGTTAAACTACAACACAGAAGATGTATTATATAAAAAGGACGTGATTGACAAACAAAAGCAGCAACAAACAAGATAACAGTCATACCATGTTTTCCTCTGGAAATGTCTACATATTGGCAGAGTCTGGGGTGAGTGATGGTCTTGAGGATCTGGAAACGTCCGAGGATTTTGATGGAATTTGGGGTGAGAGGGAGGCCATTGCTCCCACAAACATCATGAGGGAGAGGTGAAGCGAAGAAGGTAGAAGCCCCCAGCTGGGCATCTTTTAAGAGCTTCATTACGGTTCTGTAAAACGCTGACACCCCCCCAAAAATAAAGAGTAAAACATTTTTATCGACACGTTGTATCTTCAGAAGAGTGGATGTATCCGTGATATTGGACCAATTTACTATGACAATACAGACATTTTATGAGAAAAAAATGTCCCCGTGAAGTGACGCTGTAATTAAATAAAATGCCACAGCTTCCTCTTTCGTTCCACACAGAGTAATGTTAAGTGCTTTACCTTAATGGCTGTGTCATCTGGTGCTTAATAAGAAGGCTGTGCGGTCATATCTTTAAAAATTGACTTGAAACTCTGACTTAGCTTAAGAAAATAATTATTTTCTAGCTTCTGCGTTGTGATGGGAACTGCTGGATGAACGTGACCAGTGACGATGTATTTGTGCGACAACTCAATGACAGCACTCTCTAAAATAAAACGTTTAAACAAAGATATCATCTTTTAAATGTAAAAATATGCAGTAATTTCATTTTGGGGTTTGTAACTGTGTCTTTCAGTATCTTTATTTTGAACTTCTATAAAATATACGTCTTAATATAATCAGGCATATCAGTTGACTCCTACATTCTGAGCAACATTCTCCGATATACAAGCACGTAAATGTGACAACCGGATGGATACTTGAGGCTCTGCTTCTTATCCAAATGCTATAATAGTCTATCCAACCGGACCTCCTGTCTGCGACTAGCCGCTAGCTGCCTGAGGCTAGCATAGCACCTGTCAAGCTTTGCTCCCCTGAAACAACGTGTTCTGTTCATGTAAGTTTTAAAAAGGTGTGTGACGTGTTTTAATGCTGTCAGCAACTTTTTATTTTATAGTAAGTTGTTATAAATGTTTAACTTAGTAGTAGTGATATTAAAAGCTAATGGAAAGTCAGTGTTTTCCTTGATAAGAAAAGGCAAAAATGGTTAGCTTTATGATTTAACTGACGCAGCCTTAACTAAATTAGCATAAAGGGCAACCCTCCCCAGGGTGCACAGATTTTTAAACTATATAACAAGGCAATCTATTTCAGTGTCGAATGTATGATTAACATCTTAGAAAAACGACAAATGTACAGTATACTGTGTAAAGTCTTTAATGTACATTATTTACCTTCGTTTTAATAGTAGTATATAGTTATTTATTTAGTATATATTTATTAATTTGGCCAGAATATCCTGCTTCTCCATCTTGACAAAATTAGGACTATGTAGCCTATTACTTTTATATAAAGTATGATAAATGACTACTGGTTTGCATTTAGCAAAGAAGCTTGTTTTATTAAACGTGTGAATAATACTTAATTTAGCATGTTTAAGGATGAAAGTGAAGCAGACACAACATTGGATTACCTTTATGTAAAAGTGTATGTAATTATTCTTGTTTTACACATCTCAGAGCAACAGTATTCACATTTTCAGCGTCAGAAATCAGTTTTTTTTTATTCTTTAGAAGACTGTTTTATTTTATTTTATTTTTTAATTAAAGCTGTGATATACTCTGGTCATTTATTCCTGCTAAAGCTAATTAGATCAAACAGCTGGTAAATGTAACTTTCCAGTAAAGCTCATCTTTTGATCTTTTTTTTTCATTTTTGAGAAATTAATGGTTTTTTGGCAAGTTTTAAAAAATTGTGGATAGACTTTATTTTATTTAATTTTTTTCATAAGTACCTCTGATTCTGAAGGCTGACCCTCATATTTAAATCCAAAGCATGCAGCACCTGCTAATGCCTTCAGGTGGTGCTGGCACGCCATACTTCCTTTTTTTGGAAGACCGTATGATAAAGGCCTGATAAGTACATTATATTCCCTTTGTAGGAGTACAAGAAAGCTAAATCTGTCAGAATGTTTTGCACCTGTACACGCTGAGGACAGCATACTTGTAACTAAGTCTATGGTAAATGTATATCACCTTCTTAGAGTTCTACAGCCACCAAGGCGCTTCACAACACAATCAGTCATCCACCCATGCACACACACACACACACTTTGATACTCTGGTGATGATGAGCTACAATGTAGTCACAGCTGCCCTGGGGCGCACCGACGGAGGCAAGACCACCCTCCGATCACCACCAGCAGGCAAGGCTGTGCCCAAGCCCAGTGGGAATTAAATTGCAAAACAAATCAAACTTGTAATGAATTTTATACATTGATGACAATTAAATTAAACAGACTGAAAGCTGGTGAAAGACTGCAGACTTACATTGTTTTTACGCTGCGGAGCACGCCTCATACTCATCCATTTATCTGCAGTTGTCGGCGTGAGATCAGCAGTTTTGCGAGCCGCCGTAGTTATTACTCCACCACAAGTGCTTTTCAGATCAATTCAGTTTATTAAAAAACAATGCTTTGATCCTTGATTTTATCAACTCCAGCTCCAGTGCGTTTCTAATTTCCTCATTCCTCGATGTTTGCATTCATTGTTTTTATCCTCAGCCAGATTTTTTTTCAGCGCCTCCTTGTACTATCTGTAAAGATCTATTTTTTTTTTTTTTTTTTTTTGTCTCCAGCCTTGTAAAAATCCTTCTTTCCCTTCCCGTTTTGAAGATTCTCTTGAGTGGAACATTATAAAGGAACATTAGTTTTAAACTCCCGTCCAGCTATGGATAAAATCTCCACTTACTACAGAGAAAGACAAATATAATTCAAGACTTTTTTATGAGGTCTGTAAACGCCAGAGTTGAGCTGAAATGTTCAAACTTTCCTGGAATCATCAAGTTCTCATCTATTTTTTTTTTATCAACAGGTTTCTCTCATACTATGTTTCTTGTGATTGTTGGAGAAATCCATTTGTTCTATGATTAACTTTCCAACGTCATTACATGAAACTTGATTATGGTTCTTAACAATAACCCCAACAACCTGTCACAGATCTTTTTTGCTGTGTTGAATATAACGTTACACTGATTTTCAGCTTCATGCTGAGATATGTCTGGACAAAAACAGTACACCCATGATGCCTCCAGTCCCACACAGTGGACCCATAACACGCACCAGCATCATAGAATTATAGTCCTTCTGTTTTTGTTGAGACTAGTTGACTGAACTCTGTGGTCACTGTGAGTTTGTGGTGACGTTGGACTGGAATACAGACTTTTTAAAAGTTTTCTTTGACTTTAAACTTCAGAAAACATTTCAAAAATGTATTTAAAGCTGGTAATAAGATGTGTTGATTATCAAAAATTATCCAAACCTATTTTGTTTTCTGGTAAAATGCATAGATTTTTAGGTAGTTCAACCCAAATGCTTAGAGAAACATTTAAAGGTGCAATAACTTGAGTTCTGCAGAGAAATTCTAATGTCTCAGCCATGCAGGAAGGAAGGTGACATTAAAACAGATTTCCTTCTCAGCCAGCTGGGGGGTTGTCAGGTTTTCTTCTTTTGTCAAAGGTCAAAGAGGGACGTAGTCTTTGTTTACAATCTGCCACGCTTCCATACTTCCTGGTTCCAGAGCCAATCATTTAGGCCTAGTCCACACGTAGCCGGGTTTTTTTTTAAAAACGAATATCCGCCCCTCCAGAAACTTGCATCCACACCACCTCGTTTTAAAAAGAAACTGTCCACACGTACCCGGATAAATACGTTGTTAAGGACATGCCAGACCTGTAGGCAGCAGTACTTCCCCCGTTCTTAACCTCGTCCTTCGTCTGTGGTCTTCCACAAGGAGCAGTAATTCCGCTTGCAAAAACCAACAAGCAAAAAGCGCTTGGACAATCGATAAAGCGAGCGCAGCTCTGAGGGCATCCATGCTGTCGGCTAGTGTAAACACAGGTCGCACACGTGATGTGATGTCAGTATTTTTTTTTGTCGCGGAAAGTGACGTTGCGGACCTTAAAACTCCGGTTTTGTCTGTCCACATGCAGACACCCAAAACGGAGAAAACGCAGATCTTCACTTTGGCCTGAGTTTTTAAAAAGATCCGTTTTCGTGTGACAAAACTCCGTTTTCGTGTGGATGACAGGCCAAAACGTAGAAAAATATCTACGTTTTGGCAGATCTCCGGCTACGTGTGGACAGGGCCTCAGCCTTACCAAATCAACCCTGGCCTGCAAAAAGCAGCAAAGAAACAATGTTAGCCAGTAACAGGAGCGACCTAGAAGTTATTTCTTGTACCTCTAAGAAGCCATGGCATCTTTTCTTTTTACTCTAATATTGGGTAAAGAAAGCTAGTGGCTAACAATGCTAACAGTGAATAAGAATAAAAAAAATAACTCAAGGTACTTTTTTCAATTACCACCAACTCAATATTACAGCAAAAAGTATTAATCTACTTATCAGCGAGTGACTCGTCTCCGCTCGTCATCTAGAATCTTCTGACACTAACAGTTGCTCAGAGCAGACTTGTTTGTTTTGATATTTGGACTGCAGTACCCACATTTGACCACAGGATGTCATTCTTCATGTACATTTAGAGGACCAGGATTGGACTCCATAAAAGAAGACAAACTGCGATATCTTTAGGAACAAATTGTTTGGTTAACTTGATTGATGAATTAGTGAAAAAAAATGGTGTCTCCTTAATTCATGTACCTTTAGGATTGTTTTGGCTTCTATTTAAACAACTAAATGTCTGGACTTTTGTTTTGTTGTCTGTTAGGTTTTTAGCTCGCTCGTTGATTAAAATGTCGAGTCACAATCCTTTGTTGAGGCTCGAGCAGCGAGCGGCTGAGGCTGATCGGCTCATCGAGGACCTCAAACAGCAAGTCCAGCTGCTAAAGGAGAAAACCAGTAAGTGTTTGCAGATGACATCATACTTAGATTTATTTAATAGATTGATACCACTCTTAATTGAATTGAAATAAATAGCAAATATTATGAGTTAAATAATGCATTTAAAAAGCTCTCACTTTTATTTCTATTATTTACAGTAAAACATATTTTGTTTGGTGACACATATTTGCTTGGTTGTAGTTCTCCAGGCCTGTGTCCGAGAGGAGAAGAAACTTTTGGTGGAAAACGCCAAATTAAAGAATGACATCGAGGATCTGAAAAAGCAGCTGCTGGAAAAAGAAAAGAGGAGAGGAGGTACGTCTCTGTTTCAGATCCATGCATGATTTTGTTGTCCAGTTATAAAAGTGATTTATTTGGTCAGTCTTGTGATTAAAATCACCTTCTGCGTTATGTCTTCAGCCCATTAAAACCAGCTTGTGACCCATGTGATTGGAGAATCCCCATTAGGCTGATGGGGATACCATGTGCATTTGTTATTGTGAGTCAAGGCGTTGATGCTCAGGGGCGAACAGCTCAGATCTTTTAATGTTTTCCAGAATGGAGCTGCAGGAATAAATGGGGCTTGGAAGAAATAAGTAATTTAACCTCGCAGTAAGTGGAAATGTTTTAAAATGTGTTCCAATACATTTGAGACGATCTTCCTCCACTTTTCTGTCTTTAGCTCATCTTTATGTGGGGTAAAAAATCCTTATCAAGTATAGATAAATATGAAAGAACTTGCTTTTTTGGAGATGACCTCAATAAATCGACCCAACTGGCCATTTCTGGCCATTTGAGTTAATCTTTTTTTTTGGGAAGTTGTTGGTTTTCATCACATCCTGACTGAAATCTTTATTGACCACGACTGCATAACGTTGGCCTTTATTTGAGGCATAAGATATTTATGTGTTTGACGCTGAAGGTTGTTTCTGATCTCTGGTTTATTGGTGTAGCAGTCTCTTATGGGGTCTGGTATGGATCCGTTGGCCTCGTTAAAGTTATTGCATTACAAACTCAACAGTTGCTGTCACCATGGACACACATCGTTCAAAGATGCACGTATTTGCAGCAATCGGTGGCCTAAGTGCTGCAATGTACTTGCTTTTATTTATGCTTATGCATTTTTATCATGGCCGCCTCGCATAACTTGAGTCTGTTTGAAGTGTCGTTTGTTCGTGTCCTCATTGGCGAGCTGCAATACTCGAGCAACCAGTAGGGGGAGTTGGCAAAACTAACGAGACACATTTGCCATTGTCACGCTTCTCTGGTTTAGATGTATTTTATACTATCAGTGATACCGCTGTTGTTTATTTTTCTGTCGTGATCTCAAAAGTAACCAGCCACTGATGGCATTTTTTTTTTTGTTTATACCTTACAAATCCGGCACTTTATCGGGTCTGAGTTCTGTACGGTGCCCCCTAGTGTGATCCTCCAGTACTACGTCCAGTGCAGCGGCAAGTATGTGAACAAGACGCAGCCTGCTGCCAGCGTTAAAAAGCAAGTAGACTGCTAACATAAGTCTCCGCCCCTTTGGTGCGGCTCATGGGTCCCCTGAACAAAAAGAGTGTAAGTGGACACCCTGAATCTCACATATGTTGAACTCCAATTTAAATGATAAATAATTGTTTGTTTCGTAATATGAGATTCATTAGCTTGTAGAAATTCGTAATTAAACTGACTACACATCAGAAATCGCATGTAAGACCCCACCAGAATCTCAACTCCTCTAGCAGCATCTTGTTTTTTTCCTGTGTGTGTGCCCACCCCAGCCACTTTAGAGACTTAACTTACGTTGTTACTGGAAATTCAGCACCCATCATAGTAAAAACAATCACTGTGTGTTTTTTTGTTTTGTTTTATTGTATCATTTGCAATGCTGTCTTAGAGAAAATGTTTGTGTTAATTGGAATTTTAGAAAAGGAGACTCGGTGGGAATGTTAGGAGTTTAAGGTTGTTGCCTGCTGTTTTAAAGTAAACTGTAAAGGTTCTGCTCTCGGGTCTTAACATAGAATTAAGATAATTAAAAGCATTATGGCGAAGATGGTGTGCCTACAAACCGATGTTTGTCAGGCTCGGGCTCAAGGTTTTGTAGGGATTCAAACATCGGGCGCCTTAAATGAGGGGTCATTTGTCTCAAAAGGCTTATTGTAGAACGCTGTTCTTTGCTTTATGGCTCCATTTTCTCGTTTCCATCAACCCGGGCGCTGTGTCATTTAGCCATCCAAACTGTTTGCATCAGGGGAGCAGTCCTCCCACTGGGTGTGTAAATAAAGCTGCTTCTGTATCATTTTGTTGTGTTACGATGGCGCAACCACCCCTGCGTGTGAGAAGGGACAACAAAGGAGTAGTGTACTTCTGTACATGCAGCAGCAATGCTCTCATCTGACCTTTACTTCACACTGAAGTTAGAGTTTAAGGAGCATGTGCAAACATCTGATGGAACATCTTATTTCCCCTGTAGTGCTGGATGTTGCTATGCCATCGGATGACTCCAGTGTTGATCTGGGTGCAAAGCCCACCCTCCCCAAACCTTCTGATGCACCTCCTGCTGCTTCACCACCTCCTGCTGCTGCTCCTGTCCAGAGCAAAGACGAGCCCAAAAAGAAGAAGCAAGAGAAAAAAGGTGCACGAAAAGATGAATGAAATGTTACAGGATAGCATTTTGAGCAGTGGGCTCGATCTTTTATGCATTTTTCTGTAGCTTAAAACATTCTTGCACGTTAAATATAATAATAAAACAAAAATACAAGAAAAAACACTATTTCACCTATCTGAAAGGGATCAAAAGTGGTACAAACGTACTCAATCCTCTCCATAATGGATTGAAAATAACTGAAATGGATTTCCTCTTCTTCTGATGTAATCAAGTAGGGATGTGTATTGGTGAAATTCTGGCGATACAATACTTATCATGACACAGGGAGACGATACGATATATCACGATATATTGCGATACATTCAGCCGGACAATATTAGTGATTTTTTTAGACTAAAATTATTGTAGGAAAATTCAATAAATGGTCCAAACTGATACTTTAACATGATTAACATGAGGTATCTGAACCATAATAGAGGGATTTACATTTCACTGGTGGAAACAAACTCCACTGCACACTACTGCTGACTAGGGGGCGGCATTTGATTTGCACCAAAAGAAAAGAAAATACACAAATGTTTGCACGTAAATTCTTCCAAAAAAATCGATACACAGCTTTTGAACATCGATATATCGCAGAAAAAAAAATCGCAATATATTGATATATCGATATTTTCATACATTCCTATAATCAAGGTAATTTTTGTTTAATCCTATTCTATGTAAGTCATAGGAAAGGCTGTCGGATCGACCCGAGCGTCAAACCAACAAATGTGTCTGAAAAATTGGAGTTTGTTTCACAAAAATTTCTGATTACAAAAGAAGTTATTAGTGTTTTGTTTGTTTACTCTTGAGAAAATAAAAGCAGTGCTGCACATGACCCTGCAGGACTGGGCATGCCAGATGTTTTTAAAGTCCTGCTTTAATACTTAGACAGTTGTTTAGTTGAATAATGTTCTGTGACGATTGAAAGCCATTTTCTTCTTGTTTTTTATTTGACCACATGAGTCACATTCCACCGTTAGGCCAGCCATTCATTGCCATGCTTTGTGTTGAGTCATGGGAGGAAATGGGGTCTGATTTCTTCTAGATGTCCTTCATTGTTCCAAGTTGGAATCACATTTTTCAGCTTTTAAACATAATTTGTCTGATTATGTTCATAAGTATTAAAAACATTTTTAAAATGCCTCCATTCATCAGCGATATCTCAGGAACACGATGAAAACATATTTTCAGATTTTTAGTGCATGAAATGAGAAAATTCAGTGAGCCAGGTAAAACGTTTATTAAAGCAGCAATCTGGAGTTTTCCCCCTTGTATGATTTTTTTTTCTTTCTTTTAGAAATCTGTAAAAGGGATTGTCTGAATCTTTGCCGTCCCGATGAGCCCCATGCAATTTGAATTGAGATCAGTTTAGCATTAGCCAATAGCATTCATCCACTTACATACGCATGTCAATCACAGAGCGTTTGTGGACGTACCTAGACAGATGACGAGCTGGCAAAATTTCTTATGGACAAGTAGGTCCAAAAATTATATAATGTATAATATACATCAACAGCAAAACAGGAGAATAATAGTTGTAAAACAGAATGCAGAAGTAGGGGGAGGGGCTTAAGGTGCAGTGTATTTTCCCGCCTCTAGATGGAGCCCTCTGAGAAAACTGATTACTGCTTTAACTCAGACTGCCTTAAAATGTTTGTTTTAATTGGTTCTTGTTCACTTTACCTGTTCTTTATTCTTGATATGAGGAGGTGAAAAAGCAGAAAAGAAGCAGGCAGCGCCGAGCCAAGAGGAAGCCAAGGTGGACGTGTCTCGTTTGGACCTGCGTGTAGGTCGTATAATCACGGCCGAGAAGCATCCAGATGCCGATAGTCTGTATGTAGAGCAGGTGGATGTGGGGGAGGCAGCTCCCAGGACAGTGGTCAGCGGACTGGTCAAACACATCCCCCTGGAGCAGGTACACTCATTTCAAAGATTCTGCAGGAAATTTGTCAACTCATTAAATGACTCCAGACGAAACACAAATTCCCTTTAGCCTTTTTTTTTTTTTCAGTGAGAGTGACTAAAGGCTGCTCAGCTTCATTTAGTGCTCTCAGACTGGAGTTAGACCGCTGAACTGGTGCGTCTGTATCAGTCTGTTAATCTCTGAGTCAATAAATCTACCATTAAATTCTCATTTGGCAGTCGGGTTTTAGAAATGCTGCTTATTATGAGTCTGTCAAGGGAACAGGGCTGAAAAGTGTCAGAGGTGCACCACTGGCTTTATGTCTGCATGGTGGAGTGTGAATAAATTGCAGAAAACTGGGTCTTAGACATGATAATAACAGAGTAGCTACCACAGCTGCCCACAGATGGAAAACAAAAACCACCATCAAGCCTCGTGGAAAGCAACATGATTGATTTTATTTTCTGCATTTGAAATGGTGGGATTTCAGAGCTTTTCGAGTCTGAAAGTCAAATAATTTCGTTTTCTATTTTGGTTTTTGAAATGCGGATCTTCTGTTTTCCACAGAGGATGAAATAAGTTTTTTTTTAAATAGCTAATTGGGTTTCGCATCCTTAATGCAGATGCAGAACCGCATGGCGATCCTGCTGTGTAACCTGAAGCCGGCCAAGATGAGAGGAGTGGTGTCCCAGGCCATGGTCATGTGTGCGAGCTCCCCAGACAAGGTGGAAATCCTCGACCCTCCAGGTGGATCGGTACCGGGGGACCGCGTTTCCGTCCAAGGCTTCCCAGGTATCTACCAATCAATGGGTTGAGGGTTATGGGTTGGTCAACCTAAAGCTGTAGCCCCCATCATGTGACTGTTTTAACAAAATGCCTCTGCCTTTGATTAATGACTGTGACATTGAAGCTTTTTCCCTTCCAGAAACAACATCAGTAGTTTAAACACTCGTTTGTCTGAAGACACCAATCCCTGATGGGTCTACTCGCCCATCTCAGAGCTCTCGTTAGAGGATTCCTCTGCTCCGTTTGCTGATGGCTAAATGGGCTGTGACTGCTGTGTTTACTGGCTAATGAACACTCAATGTTGGGACCGTAACCTAAACTTTTTTGAAGTTGTTGGGGAAATGAGTTTTCCTAATCGTCCAGTTACGACCAACCAGCATAAATTAGTTTCAAAACAAGCGTTTCAGCTCTACTTCCTCCTTATTAAGACAAGAAGCAGACCATAAAGGAATCTTTTTTTTTTTTTCAGAAGGAAATATGTGGAAACAAATATTTTTTTGGGAATGAAAAATCAGATTCAGAGAGAAAAATAAACACAGGTCTTTGTGTTAATCCTCTGAGAGCAATAACTCTAGTTTTCTCTAAAGCTGTGGAGAAGATGGTAAAATGAAACAGGCTCTCTGGGTTAAACCCCCAAAGCTCAGCAGCATCTAATTCAATTAAATTCAATTCTAATTCAAAACTACTTTATTAATCCCAGAGGGAAATGCAGTTGTTTCTGCACACACAATTTGGAGATCAGACATACATACATACATAGACACATGACAAGAATTGGTGACTGTGGTCATTCGCAACACGAGTCGCGCTACCGTTATTGATCAAGATGGTTTATATGAGGATAGAGTCAGGGGGAGGGGAAAAAAGGCACTTCAGAGTTACCTTCGACAGAGAGGATAGCTTTGCTATGCAAAAAACGCCTCAGACAGATGTGCACACAGACTTCAGACGATGCACAACATAAGTGTCCACTAGGTGGGGAGATAGGGTTCGGACTCTCCTCACTTCAGAGCGTGCAGCCGCATGGAGCAGCGCTCATCACCTCCGTTTGGACAGGGGAGGGAGATAATGGGTTAGAGGGCACATTGACTCCTAGATACGGTTCCACGGCCTTCACCAGTCACAGTCCCGCCCTGGCTGGGATATGGAGAAAGGGTTTCCATAGCAATGGCAGCATTCCACATTTCTTCTGAGGGGGGAGTTTTCACTTCAGCCTCACAGGCGCCAAGGGCACCAGATTCGGATAAGAATTGTTTTGGGTACAGACAGAGATAATTTCCTCTCTGCCTCCAGTTCCAATAATGGCGTAATCAATCTATTCCAATCCGTGCTGATCCGTCAACTCTCTCCTTGATGGAATCCACCTTCTGTGCCAGAGCCTGAATCTCAGCCAAAGTTCCAAGCTTACGACTCATCTCGACTATTTGATGAGTTTGTGAGTTCACAGCGCAATGTATTCCATCCCTGAGCTCCAGGATTAAGCCAGTATTCCTCGAAAGCGCGTTAATTTTCCGGTTTGCCAGGTAACCACTCAGGCCAAAAAGCAAGAAACATGACACCAACACCACAAATATCCAGACATCTTCAGAATCCTCTACAGACAGTTGAGAGAGGCAGATCAGGTTCCACTGTTTCCAGGAGTCCATGATATACCCAGCTGGCTCTGTCCCAGAGGGGCAACCGGGAGCCCCTTCTCCCGTTCTCATTGTTGAAAAAATTTTGTCAATCGCGTTGAGAGACCAACTGACCAGATCCATGTTTAATAATTTCCAGTTTCCAGAAAAAATGCAGAAAACGCAGTACACATGCATACAGGACAGAGACCCTTGGGAGGAGGAGGGAAGGAGAAGAGAAAAAAGCGTCTGTACGAGCCGGAAGAAGAGCAAAGTTTTGATCCCTCACATTAGCTTCAGCGGTTAGTTGTGTAAAAACTCGGGTCGTTTCACAATATGCACACTTTTCTGAGCTTGTGTACTCGCATACTTGTGAAACGTCACCGATGTTGGCCCGAGTACTGTTCCAATCCTGTCTGTACCATGGCAGCATCCTTCTGTAGACTTGGGCCAGCAAAGTCTCGGTTTGTCTGTCTGTGACTATATTTCAGCACCTCTGTGTATTTCTCTCATTTACTATCTGAAAAAAATAAGTTTTTTAAAATAAATCCACTCTGGCTGTTTCTGTCCTTAACTTTTCTATGTTGGGCTTTAATCCACTTGTTTCGACACCATTCCGATGTCCACTCTGATCCTTCTCGGCTGCAATTAGCTGAGAAAAAGAAACTTCCTTACCAATCCTTCTAGCTCCTCCTGAATATGGACTCACACGATGACGGTGAGAAATGTATGGAGCTCTGAAGGTGACCAAAACTTGCCGCTACTTGCTGGTATTTTTTCACATCCATGTCGAACTAATGAAAATACAAACAACGGAACTCTGTCTGTTTTTCTTGTTGCTGACGTATTCCTGTCAACCAGTCAGTGGACAGTGTTGTTGCTCTGCCCTAGCCGTACCGCTCCAGACATTTCAGACCTACAACAGAAGGGGGGAGGGGGGTAAAAAGTCCCATGACTGGCACGGTCCAGGCAGGTTGTCTGGACCAGTTTTACAACTGGAACAGAAAAATTAGCGATCCAATCCTTCCCATTCCTTGCCAAAATGGTCGTAGTAAATGAGATAAATGAAACGTAAAGTTGTCCAAATGCTGCCAATCAAGGATCTCAAGCTTCTGAGGTAAACTGTTACAGGTTGTGTAGAAATTCAGCCCCTGGACAAAATCCAGCCAGACCAATGTTTTTCATTTCATAAATGCTAGGCTACTGAACTGAACTGAACCATCGTGACATGAGAACCACACCTTCTTGTTTTCCTCGAATGTTTGTGATTCTGAAAAGTTTTGATGTTTTTAATTACAGCTAAGATCAAACAGACGGTTTAAAGAGCTTATGTTCTGATAAAACAAGACAGGAAATCAAATTGCCCACAATTCATATGGAGCTCATCAAATTATATTTGATCCTATAAATCACAAATGTAACATTGGTTATTTGTTCACTGTTTGTATTGGTTTCAGATTCTTGCACGTTATTTTTATGTATCAAATTTGAAATGTACAGGTCCTTCTCAAAAAATTAGCATATTGTGATAAAGTTCATTATTGTCTGTAATGTACTGATAAACATTAGACTTCCATATATATTAGATTCATTACACACAACTGAAGTAGTTCAAGCCTTTTATTGTTTCTAATATTGATGATTGTGGCGTACAGCTCATGAAAACCCGAAATTCCTATCTCAAAAAATTAGCATATTTCATCCGACCAGTAAAAGAAAAGTGTTTTCAATACAAAAAAGTCAACCTTCAAATTATTATATTCAGTTATGCACTCAGTACTTGGTCGGGAATCCTTTAGCAGAAATGACGGCTTCATTGCGGCGTGGCATGGAGGCCATCAGCCTGTGGCACTGCTGAGGTGTTATGGAGGCCCAGGATGCTTCAATAACGGCCTTAAGCTCACCCAGAGTGTTGGGTCTTGTGTCTCTCAACTTTCTCTTCACAACATCCCACAGGTTCTCTACGGGGTTCAGGTCAGGAGAGTTGGCAGGCCAACTGAGCACAGTAATACCATGGTCAGTAAACCATTTACCAGTGGTTTTGGCACTGTGAGCAGGCGCCAGGTCGTGCTGAAAAATGAAATCTTCATCTCCATAAAGCTTTTCAGCAGATGGAAGCATGAAGTGCTCCAAAATCTCCTGATAGCTAGCTGCATTGACCCTGCCCTTGATAAAACACAGTGGACCAACACCAGCAGCTGACATGGCACCCCAGACCATCACTGACTGTGGGTACTTGACACTGGACTTCAGGCATGTTGGCATTTCCCTCTGCCCAGGCTTCCTCCAGACTCTGGCACCTTGATTACTGAATGACGTGCAAAATTAGCTTTCATCCGAAAAAAGTACTTTGGACCAATGAGCAACAGTCCAGTGCTGCTTCTCTGTAGCCCAGGTCAGGCGCTTCTGCCGCTGTTTCTGGTTCAAAAGGTGGCTTGACCTGGGGAATGCGGCACCTGTAGCCCATTTCCTGCACATGCCTATACACGGTGGCTCTGGATGTTTCTACTCCAGATTCAGTCCACAATCTTCCTCAGGGTCCAGTCACCTCTTCTCGTTGTGCAGCACTTTCTGCCACACTTTTTCCTTCCCACAGACTTCCCACTGAGGTGCCTTGATACAGCACTCTGGGAACAGCCTGTTCGTTCAGAAATTTCTTCCTGTGCCTTACCCTCTTGCTTGAGGGTGTCACTGATGGCCTTCTGGACAGCAGTCAGGCCGGCAGTATTACCCATGAATGTGGTTTTGAGTATTGGACCAGGCTGGGAGTTTTTAAAAGCCTCATGAATCTTTTGCAGGTGTTTAGAGTTAATTAGTTGATTCAGATGATTAGGTTAATAGCTCGTTTAGAGAACCCTTTCATGATATGCAAATTTTTTGAGATAGGAATTTTGGGTTTTCATGAGCTGTACGCCAAAATCATCAGTATTAAAAATAATAAAAGGCTTGAACTACTTCAGTTGTGTGTAATGAATCTAATATATATGAAAGTCTAATGTTTATCAGTACATTACAGACAATAATGAACTTTATCACAGTATGCAAATTTTTTGAGATAGGAATTTTGGGTTTTCATGAGCTGTACGCCAAAATCATCAGTATTAAAAATAATAAAAGGCTTGAACTACTTCAGTTGTGTGTAATGAATCTAATATATATGAAAGTCTAATGTTTATCAGTACATTACAGACAATAATGAACTTTATCACAGTATGCTAATTTTTTGAGAAGGACCTGTAAATATTTGTCTAGCACTTGACTTAATCCGTGTACCAAAGCATTTTCTGGCTGGGTCGTGCAAGGACACGGCACATCGGATTTTGGAGTCCGGGATCCACAAAGCTGGGATTAGTGATAAAAGAGCTCTTTCTGATGGAGATTTGATGTTTGCAGGTGAACCAGACAAGGAGTTGAACCCCAAAAAGAAGGTGTGGGAGCAGGTTCAGCCTGAGCTGCGCACGGATGACCAGTGTGTTGCAACATACAAGGGTGCTGCCTTTGAAGTCTTTGGGAAGGGAGTGTGCAAAGCCCAAACCATGAGCAACAGTGGAATCAAGTGAAATACCAGAGCTGCTTGAAATAGCTCCGTGTTTACTCTGCAGCCGTCTCCAGTGATGACCACAGATGGTGTTGAGTACTGGGAAGGTGATGAATGATAGTAAATACTTTTAAGATGTTCAATAAAGGATTTTGATTAGCCATACTTTTTTCTTTTTTCCCCGTAAGCGGTTCCCAAGAATCTGTCTTGTGACTGTCTGCTCTAAACTGGATTCAGTCGTGGTCTATAAACCGTAATCAGCACAGCTTCCTTCATGCTTTTAGTCCGTGAGTTTGTGTCTTCTCCTGAGACACACCAGCTTGATTGTGTTTTGATTCTGAGGTTGTAACTCTAAAGGACATGCTGAACTGGACTCAGACTTCCCAATAAAAGTACAAAGTTCTAGACTCGGGTTATTTAGGTAGCTCACAGTCCTCAGGTTTCCAAACACCAATCATCGTGGACTTAATGTATTCTGAGTATAAAACACTGTGCAGTTTAATAGCAGAAATGGTCATCCGTAGCTTTTTATAGCCAGAGTCTGTTCTGCAGTGTTCTTCTCGTTTTTAGGTCTTTGCTTTTGTTTACAGGTCAGTTCACCAGGTGGAAAATAAGACATTTTTAAATTAAAAATGGCCAATTTTAAAGCACTTTTAAATCAGATTAAGTGTTGAGGTACAGTTTTAGGTTTATTGAATTCTCATAAAAATTCAGAATTTATGTAATTCTGAGTAAATTTTGTTTTAGAATTTTTGAAAAACAAAACACAAAAAATGTACGTGGAAAAACGGAACATCTTTTATAACGTATAAATACTTAGACAGTTGACTGAAGCTGTAGCAAGTTGGAAATTAAACATCTGAGGAAATCTGAAATGGAGGTTTGTGTCTGCACTTCAGTGCACCCTAATGAGTTGGAGGTAAAGGAGAAAACAAAATAGAACAAGGCAGAACTAAAGTTTGTTAAAAAAATTAATTAAATACATTCTTTGAGATTATGTTCAGACTTCATGTGTGAAAATGTTAATTGTTGCATTTTCCAGAGGTTTTTATTCTGAAGGAACCCGGAGCACCCAGATAAAACATGGGGAGAACATGCTAACTCCACACAGAAAGGCTGGGATTCGAACCTGGGACCGTTTTGCTAACAACCACCAAAATTTAATGTAAATAATATAGAATCTGAAAGTAACTCCAACATTTCCTCTGCCTCCATAACATCTTCTTGCATCACTGTTTCCTTAGTATGATTTAGGATTACTTCAACATTAGAATTAAGAAGATGAATTTTTATTGAGTCGATGTTCTCTAACTGATGCCTGCTTAAATAGTCGGCCTGTCAAAATTCTACATTTGTAGGAATTAAGCTGTTTGTATACATAAACCATTTATATTTCAGATTAAATAATGTAACTTTTAGAGGATTTCTGGGACCAAATGAAATGTTAGTAGAACGTGCTGTTGGATCTCAGACATTAACTGACAGATTTACCTTTAATATCCACTCCTATGTCATCCACATCAGAGTAAGAGTGCAGGAACCGGGACAAAACCTGAATATTTTTGCATCCCTGCACAGAAGGGGATACAAAAGTTTAGATTTTAGGAAAATGTGAGAAGGCAAGGTTCAATGGACGATGATCATTCAGCAGATTGGATATTTTTCCTTAAATGTTCCATATCGTGCTATTTTAAACCTCTGAGAGCAAAGGTAGGCGCAAATAAAATATTGGCACTGTTGAGATGTCATTTATCTTAAATACGAGTTATTTTCACCAGCCTGAATTTGTTGAGCGTTCCAGTTGTCCTCAGAACCCAGAATTTCCGAGCAGGAAATGACGTAAAGTGCTTGTTTTGCGTTCCCGCTTCCAACTCTGAAAAATGGATAACACTAGTGTTGTAGAGTACTGCTGAAACAAGATTTCGATTCCAGACACCCACGCACAAATAGAAATACAAGTCAACCCTGAGACGTAACATCTGTTAAAGTGTTAGGCTAGCTTGGGAAGATGGCTTGTAACAAGTACTAAACCAAAACAATTAGATAACTAAGTATTCTCCACATCTAAATAACAGTGACACACACGCCCTTCAACGGTTGCCACATACAACCAAACAAACAAATCACATTTAAAAATATAAACGACAGGAAAAGTTTAAACCATTAACACCGGTCAGTTTTGGCGGCAATGTTAAGTTTTTCAACAATGTAACCATAACAACAATAACTTACCGTTGCTGTTAAATAGCAAAAAGAAAGAAAGAACACATAAATGAGAAAAATGTTAAATCGATAACTACTTCCCGGTAGCACTGGGTGGGTGCAGCCATCTTTAAATTAGGGATCTTGGGGTCCTCTGAAACACGCATAGGCCCAATCCCAATACTCGCACTTGCACCATTGCGCCCTTCATTTGCACGTTCCTGGCGTGAGTGCGTAAGGTGTCCTGATTCTCAAGTGCTGAAGTTGACCACGCCCCCATTGCACCCTTAATCTACGCTTCACTCAAGTCTGCAGCGATGCAGACCTCGGGCAAGGGTATTACCCACAAGTCATTGCTGCAGGATAAAAGGCTCAAGTTCCTTTTAATGAAAATATGTATTTTCTAGTGGAATTAGTAAATTTTATGATGATTATTTGATGCCCTAAAACTTTTAGACAAAGCAGCAATAAATGTAAATGTATTTCAAATAACTGTTTGTTTAAAAGTTGTTAATAAATGTTTTTGGAAAAAAAAATCACAGCGACCAGCATCCCGGCATGCGTTGCCATCAGTGACGCAGTGCTCACTATAATTTGCACACTTGTGTACTACGCACTAGAAGATTTACAGCGCACGTTCTCCAAGGGCACTTTGCTGAAGTCCGCAGGGCTTTATACGAGTATTGAGATTGGGCCACATACTGAAACCCACGAGCTTGCAGCTTGGAATTCCAAGTTCATTGCGTCATTTCCGGCTAACTAATCTCGGAAAAACGAGTTCAGAAGACATATCTGGAATGCACCAATATACCTGGGGAAAAAACATGTTTCAGTGACGCCTTCCACACGGCTGCTCCAACAAAACGTGCCTACAACAGCCTCCTAGGCAAATCATTTACTGTGTCGGATATGGTGGACCAGTGACTAAGGCATCCAGTCTAGAACTTTAACCACTGGAATACTAACATGACACCAGTCGCCTAAGCCACATATCCTGTACTGGTCAGGGAAGACAAGTTTTACAACAGAAGAAGAAGAAGAAGAAAATATCATTTCTATAGCGTCTCTCAAGATAAAAGTCACGAGGCGCTTCACAAAAACAAAAAATGTAAAAATATAAAAAAGCATTTAGAAATTTTTTCAAATATATTTTTAATGAGCAAAAATAGATAATTGTGATTAAAAAATGTTAAGAAAGAGAGAGATAATTGGAAATAGGGAGATCAGTGGATCCTGAGGAAGGTGGAATAGGTGGGGAGAGCAGAATAAAGAGAGAGAGGTGAAGAAGGTCATACAAAAGCCAGCTTGAACAAGTGAGTCTTCAGCTGCTTTTTAAAGGAGACCACTGAGTCCACTGATCTCAGGCTCAGGGGGAGAGAGGTCCAGAGTCTGGGGGCCACAGCAGCAAATGACCTTTGGTCTTTAGCCTGGTGCTGCACAACCAGTAGGCTTTGGTCACTGGACCTCAGGGACCTGCTGGGGGTGTAGGGACTAAGAAGATCACCAATGTAAGATGGTGCTTGTCTATGTAAGGCCCTATAGACCAGAACCAGGATCTTGAAATGAACCCTGAAGTTGACTGGCAGCCAGTGAAGCTGGAGGAGAAGCGGGGTGATGTGGGTGTGTTTGGAGGACTTGGTCAGAAGCCGAGCACAGGCGTTCTGAACCACCTGTAGACGGTTCAGGGAGGTTCTGCTCAGACACGTGAAAAGAGAGTTACAGTAGTCTAAGCGTGAGGAGATGAAGGTGTGGAGAACTGTCTCAAGTTCAGAGCGGGACAGAAAGGGACTCAGCTTAGCAATGTTCCTGAGATGGAAGAAGGAAGAGCGAACAAGAGAACTGACATGAGAATCCAGGGTGAGAGCTGGGTCAAAGGTCATGCCAGAGGCTAGCTTCTGGGAGAAGAGCAAAGCCTGATGACGAGACTAGTTTCCATTGATGCTTTACAAGATTTTCAAAGTAAAACTCAAAATTTGCAGCCCAAATTTTTCATGGGGTAATAACAAAATCACATGGGTTTTCCATGATATGGCCTCTTTAAGTATTGGATTCAAAACAAAAATAATTTATTTTTCTTAGATATATTTTATTTGAGAATACAAACATCTAGGATAAAACCTATTGACCACATTTGATCATTTGTCTTTTGCTATTAAAGCATTTTTTATTCTACGCTGTTTTCTTGCTGAGCACAGCCAGAGCATCAGTTCATGGTGATTGTTTATTATTACACGAGAGCTTAAATACTCAGAATGCAGCTTGAATCAAATGCATGAATATGATAATAATGAAAGTAGCAGCTCTGGGTTAACACGTGCTTTGGGGGTAAACCATACTGATAGTGCTGATGGAAGGACGAGGCTCTGCAGACATTTTTGGCTGCTTTTGAAAGAGCAGCTCTTGCATGCTCCTAACTGTGGTTTCATGCTTCACTGTTGTTAACAATGAGCAAAAATTATCCAAACTTCTCCTTCAGCTGGAGGAAATCTATTATCCAGATGATGAACCCAATCCCAAACAAACCAACTGGATTATTTTTAGATGATCAGAGAGACTTTTTAAAATCTTTTTGGTCACTATTAGAGCCCTGCAGTCTGTCTTTGTTATGTTTTGCTATTTTGCACTCATTATTAAAGAGTAGACCAGCACATCACCAGATCTTTTAGGTCAAATATTAACAGACATTTTCATACATTTTGAGAGATCTAATCATTTTCTTCAGCTCAGTGGCCTAGTGGTAGAGTGGCTGCCCTGGGACCGGGAGATTGGGGTTCAAATCCAGGTCAGCTCACGCCAAAGGCTTTATAAATGGGACCCAATGCCTCCCTGCTTGACACTCAGCTTTAAGGGGTTGGATTAGGGGGTTAAACCACCAAATATTTCCCGAGTGCCGTCACCGCTGCAGCTCACCGCTCCCCTCCATGGGATGGGTGAGCTGCGGAGGTGAATTTCACCAGTA